TCTGCTTCAATTTAAGGCCTACTTTGTGGAAACGAAGCAAGATAGCCCTTAACCTTTCTGCTAGATTTTGAGCTGATTCTCCAACAATGAGGACGTCATCGAAGTAGGGACAGACCCCAGGAATACCATGAAGTGTGTGCTCCATGACACTTTGGAATATGCCAGGGGCTACATTAATCCCAAATTGCAGTCTTTTGACCTTAAAGGCCCCCCCTGTGTGTTACAATTGTCTGGGCCTCTGCAGTTGCCTCATCAACAGGTAGCTGTGCCAAATCAAGTTTCGCAAAAATGCGCCCCCCCCCTTGAGGGAGGCCAGAATGTGGCTTACAACAGGCACTGGATATGCGTGCTGTTGCAATGCTTTATTCAATGTGCACTTATAGTCTGTGCATATGCGGACTTCTCCATTAACCTTTAGAGGCGTTACTATGGGGGTTTCCCATGGATTAGAGTCCACAGGTTCTAAGATGTCCTGTGGAGCAATTTGTCCAGCTCTGCATCTATCTTGCTTTTGAGGGCAAAAGGCACCCTTCTAGGCTTGACCCTGATGGGCATGATAGTTGGGTCTAAACGTAATGCAATGGGAGGCCCCATGTAGCATCCTAGTTCTGAACTAAACACATCAGCAAACTCCTTGCAGACTTCTGCAAGGCCCAATGTTTGCAAGTTGTGAAGCCCGGTTACTTGGATTCCCAGAGCCTCGAACCAATTGAGTGCAATAAAACTTGTGCGTTCACCCCCAACAACCACCACATCCAGGAAACCCTCAAAATCCTTACGCTGCACTTTGAGCATGGCCTCCCCCTTTACACTGACTTTGGAATTCTGAAAATCAGTGAGTATTAGATTCGATGGCCTAAGTTTAACTTGAAGGCCACTATTGCTGCAAATCCTTTTGAAGGTGTCAAGTGAAATGATTGATAAAGCGGACCCTGTGTCAAACTCCATCAATAAGGGAACCCCTTGTAACTTCACGTCAATGCAAAGTTTTTTCTTAAGGGGTTTGTGTGTCCCTGTCCTCAGAATACTCCTGCGCAATGCGCAGAAACCCACCCTGTGTTGGCTGGGGACCCTGGTACCTTTCTGAAGCTATTTTTCCCGAGGTTGGACCTTCTGGTGACTCAAACAGATGGAGGCAATGTGGCCTTGCCTGCCACATGCCCAGCAAATGGCGGAGCGAAATTTGCAGTCAGCTCGCTTGTGGCGTCCTTCGCACCTGAAGCATTGAAGAGATGCTGGGGCCTTGTCTGGACGTCCCTTCGGCCTTCTTTCTGCTGGCTGGTGAAGTCTGTCCACCTCCTCTTCAGGATCCGCTTCTGACTCTTCTCGAGCGTCCTCTTGATGGACAGTAGCTGTGGCTGGAGGGTTCCTGGTGAGCCGCAAAGCCTTCACAGCGCTGCCTACTGCTTCCTCAGCTGCAACCTCTCTTAAAGCATCTTGGAACGAAACCTCTTCTTTCGCAAAGTTCTTCTGCTGCAGGTCTCTACTTTGTAAGCCACACACGAAGCAATCTCACAGTTTCTCTTCCAGATCTTTGAACTCACAAAGCCTGGCTGCTTGTCTTAAGGCAGCAATGAAGTCCGCAGTAGATTCACCCAGCCTCTGGTCCCTCTGCTCGAATGCGTGCCTCCAAGCAATGACAGATAATTTAGGCTGAAAATGTTCCTTCAACATCTTCTTCGAGTCAGCGTACGTTACAGTGCAGAGGCCACCAGATTTTCCGCAATGTCAAAAGCTTCCTGTCCACAGACACACAGAAGAGTTGCTGCCTTCAGGTCATCTTCCCTGATTTGATTTATTCTAAAGTAGTTCTCCACCCTTGCTACATATGAATTCCATCTCTCTGGGGAGGGGGGGAGATATCAAAGTCAGTTAAGTGGCAAATTTTCGACATTGTAAACTTTTACGGCCTTCGCTAATTGCCTCCTCTGCAAGCTAGTAGTTTGGGAAGAGATCCTTTTGCCAAGCTCACCTCCAGCGATGCTGTATTGGCAGTCTGAGTCGCGAATGCAGGACACCGTCTTCCCAGTCTTCAGGATTTCCTTGGTGAGTCCTATTTGTTTTTCTTGCTTGCAGGGATCCCACCTTTGTCGCCAGTGTTGTGTTTTCCCTTTGTTGGCAATTGATGAAGACACATGGTGAAAACAACGAAGCTCTTTATTACTCTTCTCCTGCAACCAAGCAAACAGTAAAAGGCATGCAGGCCTTTTATAGGGCCTGAGACCCGGACAGTGTGAACCAATAGGAACTGACCATTTTCATGCCTTGCGCATGCGCACAATGCTGGTGCCACCCTGTCTGGTCCTGGGCAGCTTTTGGTTTGCCCGGGACCATTTGCAACAATTCTGAGCCTGCTTTCTGCTCTAGCAGGCTCAGGACACAACACCCACCTTCTCCTTTACAGCCTATGAAACTTGGGAGGGTCTCTTCTAAGCCAGTTGCCTCATCTATTATCTAGCTGCAGGCTATGCTGTCTTCTACCTGGTTATTCCCAAGGCACCATCTTTGCCTCAACTCCCAAGGTCTTTCCCTTATGCCATTACAGTTTTACATTTACAGCCGCCTGAAATGACTAGTTCTATGTAAAGATATTTGGCTCTTTCATGGGTTCAAAATAAATTCTGGAAAAGATTTCTCCATTTACAGATGGAAAGCAGTGCACCTGAACCTTTCAAATATCCTAAAGACTGGGGCTTCAAAAATCTGGGTGACCAATATAAAAATGCTGCTCTCAGATCGGGTAACTTATCTACATTATAAATGGCAACTGGGCAAAAGAGAGGCAACAGTCCCCCCCTGGAAGAAACCTCGTTTCCCCCTTCTCTTTTTTTTTTATTGAGAATTTTTAAAAGTTTTTACAAATAACAAAAAAGAACAATAAAAAACAAAAAACAAAACAACCCTCACCCAACCCCTCCCAAACCACCCCCTCCTTCCCCCCCCCCGAGCTTCCCAGAGCTGAATATAGGCTTAATTAAAATTTTAAGAAACCTAAACAAGTTTTAACAACTTATAAAATAGTTAATAATAAAATATAAGTGACATAAACATTAAAAAGAAAAAATACTTAAAAAGGAAAAAAGAAAAGAAGAAAGAAAGAGGAAAAAAATAGGAAAAAGAAAAAAAAGAAAAAAAGAGAAAACAATCCATAAAATATCAAAAATTATATACAAGTTATAAAAAAGCTAAATGATATTTTTATATCCAATTTATGTTGTATAAAATTTATCCATTTTTCCCATACAACAAAAAATTTCTCTTGCGATTGCTCCTTTAAAAAAGCCGAAATCTTTCCCCCTTCTCTTATAAACCACTACCCCCTAAATCTATATCGGTCATAGGCAGAGGAGCTGGCTATCGCAGTAATACTTGGCAGAATAATAATAGTATCTCTGATCAAGAGATATTTTGGGAGTTGTTATATATTGCTAGAATTTTGTATACAGAGACTTTAGTTATAATCATAAAGCTTTCATAATTCTTTGGAATAAATGTTGTATTAGCTCAATTTTTTTGTTATTGGGTACAATCTAGATAATTTAAATTTAACATTTTTCCCCATAATGCCAGAAGTGACCTTGAGTTTCATTTGCACAGCAGTTTTCAAATGTGTGCATATTATTAATGTGAGTAAAAATCCCAAATGAGCAGTATTTGAATTGTAGATGAAGCCTGTATAAGATTTGTAAGATTTATATTAAAATCCAAAATCCAAACTTTTCATGCCCAGTTAGATTATGATATAGTTATTTATTATTTACTAGAAAAGAAAGTTGGCTAAGACAGGGCTACAATATACACTAGATAACCAGCCTGTTGTCATTTTTAGTAAGATAGATCAAATGATAGTACCATTACAAACATCTCATTTTAGAATGGTGCTAAAATTGTCATGATTTCCTCTCCAAAACTGTCATGGCTTCCATTCCAAGGGAATCTGGGAACCAGTACTAGGGAAAAGAGGAAAATGGTATTCCCCCATGGAAGTCATTTTTCAGGACAGAGGAACTAGGACTGGTGACCTGAAAGAGTAAAGTAAGTGAGAGAAGATAGGAGACATGTGAGCTAGCTAGACTTGGGCCAGCCAGCTGGTAAGCAATGAAACACAGACTCAAATAGCAGGACTATAATTGTTGAAGCTTACTAATCAGGATGGAGGCTTTCTAGCCTTGTGTGCAAATTGAGACTCAAAGGCAGTGTCCCCAAAGCTTCTCCCAGAAGAGCTGTCTTTCAAATGTGACAAAAGGGGAGAAAAACTATACTCTCCCTCTCCCCCCCTCTTTTGTGTGTGAGGGTGATTCCTAGCCCCACCTATTTTATCTCCTTTTTTTGGAATGCCACTAACAGCACGCAATAAAGGCTAAACCAGTGATGGTGAACCTTTTAAAGACCAAGTGCCCAAACTGCAATCCAAAACCCACTTATGTATCATCAGGTGCCGGGTGGGTGTGGCCCATTGGGTGGGCGTGGTTGCGGTGGTAACAGCAGACTGGGTGGGACTAAAAAGTTCAATCAATCAATTCCAACTTTGCAAGATCTTTTTTTTTCCCTCAAGAAGTTGAAATTGACTGATTGATTGAACCTTTTTTTTTTGTACACGGCAGCGGAGGCCTAAAATGAAAAGGTTTTATAAAACCCAGCTGAAGGCCTAGGACTGGGGTGATGGTGCACATGCCCACAGAGAGCATTCTGAGCGCCGCCTTTGGCACCCGTGCCATAGGTTCGCCACCATTGGGCTAAACCATTATTGCTCTCCCATAGAGCTTGCTAAAAGTCCATTGAACCTTCCATGTAATCCTCCACAAATTAATTAAAATGGAAGTGTTTTAAGCAGTGAGCGGTTCCCTTTTTGATGACTGCCATGAGAGCGCAGAGAATAAAATACTTGGGTTTGGTTGCTGGAAGCTCCTAATATGTGTATCAATAATTTAAACTCTTTATTGCCATGGCAGGTTTGCAGTGGCCATCAAACAGACTTCCTTCCCTTTTTCTCCCTAAAGGTTTGTGGTGAGAAGAACCGTTTTGAGAAGCTGATGGAGTATTTCCAAAATGAAGACAGCAATATAGATTTCATGGTAACAAAATGAAGCCGAGGGACTGATTTCTTGGTCACCCATAAGATTTTCTCTAATACTCTTCTCCAACAGGCACACTGTGCCAAGAAATTAGCTGCTGTTCATGCCATGTTTCCTAGACCTAATTAGCAAAGAATTACATGATTTAAGTTTATGCAGTAATTAATGCTTTGGGATCAGAAAAGCAATCCTAAAAACAGGGTTAAAAGCAATCCTCAAAGTATCAGCCCTTATGGAGCACATGTTGGAGAAATCTTGTACTGTTCAAACTGATAATATGACAAACAATGTCTCTAGGTGTTTTGGGCTTGGGTAAAAATCTTAAGCATGCCTTCTGAATCATTTTCAAAGCATATTCGGCTTTACTAAGAGCTCAATAAAGTATCCTTAAAATTATCAATAAGGGGCTTAAAAACTAAATTAATTATATAATGATATTCCCTATCATTAAAAAATACTGATTGAAACTCTCAATATCAGTAAACACTTTTTTTAATTTTCAAGAAAGCTCAAAGTTAATTTTTTTTTTTTGATGCCTTTAAGTCTGTGTTGACTCCTCATGACTGCCCAGGCAAGTCCTGCAATTTTCTTCATAAGGTTTGGAAGTAGCTTGCCATTGCCTGTTTCCTAAAGCTGAGAGATTGGCTCCAGGTCACCCAGTTGGCTTTATGTCTATAGTAGGAAAAGAAGTCACAGTCTCTCAGTTTGTTTGTTTTGGCATCTTTCCCTCCCTCTCCGTCCATATGTCTGTCCCTCCCTCCATCTCTGTCTCTCTCTCCCTCTCTCTCTGCCCTGCAGTTTTCTTGGAAGACTTTTGGAAGTAGTTTGCCACTGTTTTCTTCCTAGGGTTGGAGAGACAGTGAATGGTCCAAGAGCATTAAACTGACTTTGTACTTAAAGTGGCACTGGAACTCACCATTTCTCAGTTTTTAGTCTGGTGCATTAACCACTACACCAAACTGGTTCTCTCAAAGTTAATATCCAATTATATCTATCTATCTATCTATCTATCTATCTATCTATCTATCTGTCTGTCTGTCTGTCTGTCTGTCTGTCTGTCTGTCTGTCTGTCTGTCTGTCTATCTATCTATCTATCTATCTATCGAATATTTGTGTGTAGGGATGTAATAAGCAAAAAGTATGAAAACCAAGTAACAAAAGTCCACATGCCGAGAGTCTTAGCCACCAAAATCCCAGCCCTTCAAAATTGTAAATCCTCTAGAAAACACCATTTTTTCTCCATTCCCAAACATCTAGGTGGCTTGTATGCAGTTCATCAATATTGTGGTTCATTCTGTGGAGAACATGAACTTTCGTGCCTTCTTACAATATGAGTTCACACAGTTGGGACTTGATGAGTACCTACAGGTATGTGGTTATTTTTAATTGCTCTTAATTTCCCATTAATTGTTCTGCATTTGAAAAGTGCTTAGCAATTCTGAAATGTATACCATTCTTGGAAACCAGCAACAGACATTAGTTATACAATAACTAATTTTATTACTCAGAATAGGAAATAGAGATGGAGAATTTGTGTGCTTCTCTACTTATTTTGCTGATGCTATTTTATTACTCTTGGAAATTGTTTTCTATATACTGGTAGAAATTAGAATTAAGTTCCTCATAACTATAGTTGCCTTTTTTATTTACTTTCCTTATAAACAGCACATTTCAATCTAAGTAAACTTTCATTTTAAAACTGAAGCATTAAGTGTCTGCACCATAAATGATAATATATAGGTTTTGAAAGAATAAAAAATTTGCAGTAGATTTGGAGGTGATAAGAGCATTTTTCAAAAGTGTTCTGGGAAAATTTGCTGGCCTGGTTCTTTTAGTATGTTTATTTGGATTTTGTGTCATAAAAAATTAAATAATACTTACAAACATTTTATTAAAAAAAAACAGAAGAAAAAGATGCAGATAGACCACGTATTGACATTTATAATTCCAAAAGTTCATGTTGTAAAGAATGATCATCCAGACCCAACTTTTAAATCAAATTTTCCTTTCTGTAATTGAACAGAAGGTGCGCTGTACAGAAAGTGACAAACTGCAAGTGCAGATCCAAGCCTATCTGGATAACATCTTTGATGTTGGTGCCTTGCTGGAGGAGACCGAGACCAAAAATGCCATTCTGGAACACATAGAGGATTTGCAAGAAGAAGTTGGACAGGTAGGGGGGCTGACTAAACAAATTCTATGGACAGTACACATCTTAAGATGATTGAGAAGCAGCATTTCAGGAAGGTGGGATAGTTGGTGACAATCAAGTCACCAGAAGAATATATTCTATCCCTGCACCTGGAGTTCACATGCACAAAGTCCATCCTTGCTTCAGTACATAGGATATTTGTTGACTGCTTTACAGTTTGGCCCTCCCAAAACATATTCTCAACATAGTGATTCTTTTCACAGCTCACTGAGAAACTCCAGGATGCAGAAAATGAATCCGAGGCCAAAATTGCTGAGCTAGAGAAACAGCTGTATCAGTCACGCAATGAGCTGGAGATCCTGAGAACAAGAAGAAGTGATGAGCCGGTATGAAAGCAAATAGAAAAGTGTTAGGAGAGCTTTTGATCAGAATTGATTTCAAAATAAGATCAGGAAAAGAAGTTACATTCTTTGTTATCAGTATATCCACACTTCTGGAGTAAATTTAAATTGTTGCACTCAAACCTCAGTTGATACTGTGTGTTCCAATTAAAAAAAACTATGTTTATTGAATAAATTTTAAAATTATCAGATGGAACTCAGGTACATGCAGCCTCTTATATCACCATCTCATTGGAAGTGGGGGAAAAAAGTGCAAAGCATTTCAAGCTTAAAACATTCTGGATCCAAAACATTCCCTTCCAACCTTAGAAAGTCTGATCTTACAAGAAGAATTCAGACTCATCTCAATCTTACTTGAAGAAATCTAACCTCAAAATAGATAGTTCCAGCTATGCAACTAAAACCAGGTTCAGAAATCCTAAACTCAGAATCTTTGAAATAAATTGCATATGTAATTAGAAGATCTGCTGCATCAGGCCAAGTATTCATCTAACATAGTCAGCTCACAAGCTGCATATGGTGGGCAGATATGTAGAATTAATTAGAGGTAATGGATGATGAGAAGGTCTTGTAATAGTGGAAGAATATTAATGTGCTCAATATAACTGCCATGTTCACATGAAAGGGCTGACCTGATCATCCACCCTTCCCTCATTTTTTCTTCTCTGCAACATACAGTCTGGAGATGGCTAGTCAGTGATTGGTCAGCTGATTAGCCATCCCAGTTTAGTCCTCCCAACTGTCACAAAAATTAGTTAGAAATTTATGTCCTTTTCTCCCCCTCATTCCTGGCTTTTAAATGTATTTGTTTGCTTGTTTCTTTTATTTCCTAAAGTTTAAAAAAAATGTGGTGCAGTTAGGACAGCTCTGCAAAAGCCAGAGCCATGGAAATGGATTCCTCCCTCCCTCCCCTTTTTTTACTCTATTTCATCCCCCAGGAGGAAAAAGAATAAAGGAAAAACAGTGGAGGAAAAGTGAATAGAAAGGCTTCATTTTTGTAGAAGACATTAAATCCATTTGAACAAAAGAAAGTTAATTTAGTCCCAAATTTCTTTTAGAGCAAAAATTAAATCTCTCAAGATTACTTGAATGGATTGGTTGACTGGGTTATATTATTTGCCTGACACATCAATCTCCCGTATGTCATGATCAATCATGAAAATAGGGGTACCTGAAATTCAGAACCTGTCACATTGACATGGGCTACATTCATCTCTGAGAAGTGTCTGGCTTTGTATGTTTTTTTCCTGAAATTGATATGAGCTAGTGTACTCCATAAAATGTATTGTTTATTCTAATAAACCCAGAATATTTTTTTTAAAAAAAATAGGAAAATAAATGCCAAGTCCATATCATAGCAGCATATTCAAGATCTTAGAAAATAAAACCTGCTCAAATGCAGAATAACAGAATAAATTCACTAGATTTTATATTCAAAACTTATGATTCTCTAAACATTTTATCTCAGAACAAGCTGGATCAAATCAGCAAAGTTAACAAGCCAGGAAGTCCTTCTTGGCTCCCAATGCAGCTTCCACAAGAGTTAAAAATAACTCCACAGTACACTGCTTTGGAGCACAACCTGGAAGAACTGGAAGACAGAGGTTTAATCCGGATTCAGCGGGGGCCTGGCAGTGACACCATCGTTGGCATTGAGGTCATCCCTGTTGTTACTATTGAAGCATCTTCATCAACTAGCACAGGTACATCCTCATGTAACAAGCAAGGTAAAGCCTTACTTGGAGCATTTTGCAATGTAAATGAAGAATTATATTTCTGAGAGTTTTTTCTTCTGTTGGGTATTGTTTAACATTGCAAAATATTATATTGGGCAAGAAATATATTGCTCAGTTCTACAAATTAAATGTTAATCTACATGTGAAGCAAATGAGTTAAAGAAACTTACAACTTTATATATAAAGAGGATTAAAAATACTGAACTTTATTTATATATATATTTCCTTAGTTACTCAAAAGAATTTGAATTTGCTATTTTTCTGGCAGAAATTCCAGAGGGAAACAAGTGTTTCTGAGAAAAGCCAAACACAGTTATCAGTAGTCTTTATCAATTGATTATAAAAATTCAATAATAGTTGGATATTTTTTACAAGATATTTTGTTAGCCACTAATCTAGTGGGTAATCATAATAAGTAAATAAATAGACAGGTCTCAGTTGAACTGCACAGCAAATAGATTTTCACCATTTAAATCGTGTTAAAGTTTCCATCTATTAAATACAGTAAAAATTGTAACCCCAAGTTGCTAATGTGTTCCTGAGGGTTCACCATTTACAGCTTGAGAAACCCTACCCTATATGAATATATTCCCATATATAGCTAGCAGATCAAGGACGAGAATGGTTTAGAAATTTTCCTCCTCGGTTATGTATGTAACAGAGGATTTGTTTGTTTGCATTGTTTTGTCTTAATAGAAGATTACTCAGGTAGCCAATACTCCAATTTGAATTGCCCCAACACATCAACCTTTGTACCCTATGATCTCCCAAATGGCTTATCTCTTGGTGACCACTCTATGATATGCACTAACTAAGAAATCATCACCTATCATACAGGGACAACTATTTTAATATGGTTGGGCCATAACTTTCTCTTCCCCAGGAGATCTAGGCAGGGTTATCTTCCAATAGGCAGGACAAGAAGGCATTCCACATATCTATTCTGTTTCTTTCAGATTATCCCTCCCCATCTACATCGCCTGTCCCCACTCTTGCTCCAGAAATACCACCAGCACCACCTTTACCTTTCATGAAAGGCAATGATTCTGTGGCTTTCCATTCTTCTCGAGAGGAGGAGCTGTCACCTGTTCCAACTTCTCTTCTACCACCACCATCACCACCACCCTCACTAGGGATCAGTGAGCCTCCACCTGCCCCACCACTGCCCGTAACTAAACCTCAAGGTCCACCACAACCACCACCACCACCACCACCACCACCACTCCTCTTAACATTTGGTGGCCCCGTTGCTCCTCCTCCACCACCACCTCCTCCTCCTCCCATGATTGATGGGACAACTTTTCCAGCAAGTACAGTTACTGCAGGTAAATTGTATATATAGATCTTTCTTAATAGCCATTATGCTATTTGCATATTATTCATGTATAAATTTTCGTAAGTTAATAAATCAGCTGAAGCTGCATGGAAATAAAACTTGAAATCTCATACTATAGTCTGCATTGTTCAATTTCTAATGCATTCTTTGAATTTAAAAATACTGATATATATGATTCCTTGAATATCTTATTGTATATACAGAAAGATAAAATCTAAATATTTAAAATAACTAAATATAAATAATATATTCAGTTTTATTTTAGTTGGGATACTTCCTCTGAGATGGTGTTTTCATTCTGTACTTTTATAAAAATTCAATTTAAAAATCATAATATGTAATTATAAAGAAATGGATTTTTAAAATTAATCTAAAGCATCATTTATAGGTTTATGTGCATGCAATTAATTAATTAACAGGGCAATTCTAAAGTGGGCATGTTTACTCAGAACCATGATGAACTCAGTAAAACTTGCTGAACCTAACAGATTTTCAGCCTAACAGGTTACATGGTACATTCCTAACAATGTTATATGATTTTCTTGAGGAGGAGAGAAATTTGGTGGTATTGGTAAGTGTAAAGGAGATACCAGAAACAATAACACTGGGAAGAGAGGAAATATGGCAAATTACTTGCCAGACATTTTCTTTTTTCAATTGCTCTTTCCTACAATGTCATATGACTATATTATATGAATATATAACATTACCAAGTTTTTCCTTAATAACAGAGGCAGCAGCCTTTTAAAATAATTAAAGTTAAAATCTTTCAGCTCCAAATTCTAGCTTCTAGCCTATAGAATACTCAGGGCTAGAAATTAAGAAGTGAGTAGAATTTATATTCCATGCTGAGAGTTGGCTTATCTCTATTTAGTTACTGCATTTATTTCTTGCTTTTGCTTAAAACGGCATTCATAAAAAAAGAATTATGCTGAAAGACAATGATTGGGTTCAAATATAGTGCTAAACAATGATTTGTTTAGCCCCGATTTATTGAATAACCACACATGGCTGAGATCATACATTACTGCTAAGTCATAAACTATACTTCCTATTGCTAAGCTAAAGCCAGATTTGTGGAATAGCAACTTCTTGGAGAACCAGGTGGCCTTTCGCGGGGCTCTGAAGACCTGGCTTTTCCCCCAGGTGTTCAGGTCTGGGAGTTAGGTTAGCCCTGTTGCTGATGCAGTTTTATATTTGGCAATGTCATTTATCCAGGATGCCATGGGTTATTGTTTTAATTGGTGGGTTTTAATTTTTGTATTATGCCAAAGGTCTCTGTTGCGAGACACATTTCCAAATAAATAAGCAATCTTATGGCTTAATATGTTGGGGGAATCAGCCAGTTTCATGAAATTGCATAAATTGTATAAATTTGAACCCAGGTCTTCTCAATCCAATATTTTATCAATGATTGCCAATGCTTCTACTGTTTAGAAAGATTTAGCCACATCCAATTTATCACAGATAAAAGTTTCTTTTTCATCTTATGTCCAATTTGTAAGAAGGTTCTTTCTGAAAAATAAAATTGGGAAGAGACAAATCTCTAACTGAGATTGTAGAGATTTATAAAGCACTTACAAACTTTCTTATTTATTGGAAGCTGTCAAGATCAAAAAGCCTATACAGACCAAATTCCGTATGCCTGTCTTCAATTGGGTCGCTTTGAAGCCTAACCAGATCAATGGGACCATCTTCAATGAACTCAATGATGAAAAAGTCCTTCAGGTGAGTGGTCCTTTACTTTTTTCTTTGCTATTCTCTTCCCTGCCCACCAAATACATATCATTCTGTTTATTTTGGCTTCTTCTTGGTGCAGGAGCTTGACATGAGTGACTTTGAAGAACAATTCAAAACCAAAGCTCAGAGTTCAAGCAAAGAACTCAGTTTCATGAAGGCAAAAACTTTACCCAAAGTTCCCACTAAGGTTTCATTGATTGAATGCAACCGGGCAAAGAACCTGGCCATCACCCTCCGTAAAGGGGGGCTAAGTATCGACAGCATTTGCAAAGCCATTCAGACGTAAGTATGTCCACATTTTTTTCATGAATTCCACCTGCCAATCAAGAGGGAAGACTGAAGTGAACACGTATGTATATGTTCCTGATATCCACATTAGATATGCAAAATGGTTAATTTTGTGATGGGAAGTTACTTACTGCAATGACATATAGTTCTGTAACCTAGACAAACACTTTAGTCCTCTCCTACCTAACTAGTTATTCCTGGCTTACTTTATTCTTGTTTAGATATGACTTACAGACCCTCAGTCTGGATTTTCTGGAGTTACTGATGCGCTTCATCCCAACGGAATATGAGATGACACTAATCCGCAAATATGAAAAAGAGCAACATCCACTGGATGAGCTTTCTGATGAGGACCAATTCATGATCAAATTCAGCAAAATTCCCCGCCTAACAGAACGCATGAACATCATGACATTCTTAGGCAGTTTTACAGATACTGTACAACTCCTTCTGCCAGTAAGGAACAAAGCAGGCAACTGATTATAACCAAGAAGCAGTGTTAATTAGTAATATCTTGGATTAATATCAGTTGGAAGAGTATAAAAATGGTTATAAAAGTTGATATAGTATCCTGATTGATGACTCTTTTAAAATAGTATTTTTCTTCTTTTTCTGTCTTCTTATTTATTCCAGATGGCAGAAAAAAAGGCATGATGTGCTGAATGGCTTAATAAGGGCAGCAGAATGAAAATTGCAACTTTGCATAGGAAGTAGATCCAGGGCTAACCATAGCATTTTTAAGTATCCAGTATTGTTGGGAGAGACAGCAACAAATCTGGCACATAAGACATCAAATAGCAGCAGGCAGCAAATCCTTTTAAAGTTTTTTTTAACCTTTTTTGCCTGGTATAAAAAGTAAAACTTAAGAACAGGAACAGTCTCTTTGGGAAGAATTCTTAAATTTCAGCAGCAATACCTGTGAAAGTTTACTAACATTCAGTAGCCCAACTATAGGGGAAATTCACAGAGAAACTGGTGATGGAGACTGCTGTAGAGTTTGTATTTATTGGTGATGGTAGTGTTACAGAAATTCTCTTCTATCAACATGCTAATTGTGGAAGCAATTCAAGACCTTGACAAGCCATTATGTAAAACTAACCTCTATGGCATTATCAGGGTTTGTCATCAAGTTCTCAAGCTATTTTTATATTACCTCAGGGAAAAGGTTGCAATTATCTCATTTTGAAAAGATCCAGGCTTACACCTTGCATGATATGCTAGGATTATTAAGTATCTTATGCAGTATCTAACAGTGCTGGCCGCTAAAATGGTGCTTTAAATAAACAATTGTTTTTTTCTGTTCTGATTGTATTCAAAATATTCAATTCTAATTTCATGATTTAAAAAAATCAAAAGTGTTAAGAAATGTTTCTGGAGTAAAGTCACAAAACAGGAAAATGAAATGTACACAAAATATAAATGTTGGAAGTCTGATAATTGAGCTTAAAAATGTCCGCATTTACACTTAATTCCAATAAGTATATCAGTTAAGGTAGGTAGGAAATTAGGGTCAGAATTAAGGTCAGAAGTTGTCAAGCCAAGTAGGAAATCTGATTATGTTATTCTCACATTTCATTTGCAGCAACTAAATTTTGTGATTGTTGCTTCAATGTCAGTCAAGTCATCTACCAAACTGCGTCAGATTTTAGAGGTGAGGTTCCTTAAAGATAAAGAAGTCTCCACAACCATTTAAATTGAAGGACAATTTTTCTTTGGTCTTGGGTAGTAATAATTAAGTCAGTTCCCAGAATTTTGACAACTGAGGTGCACCCTGTTGTCTACATATTCTTAAACCTTAGAATATTTTCATTTATTTGTTTTATTTATTTGTTAGGTTTGTATACCACATTTCCTCCAGGAAATCAGTGGCATGCATTGTATTCTATTTCCCTTGCATACGCGCGCGCACGCCCACACACACATACACACACAACAATCCCATGAGACTGAATATAGGACTGTCTCAAAGTTATCCAGTATACCATACTGGCAGGCATTTTTAATAACATTAAGCAACAGAAGTCTCCCAGTACATTTCTATGTAAATTTGGGGTGTGGGTGTGGTTGGGGGGAGGGGGGAGGGAGGGAAGAAGGAAAGAAAGGAAGGAAGGAAGGAAGGAAGGAAGGAAGGAAGGAAGGAAGGAAGGAAGGAAGGAAGGAAGGAAAGAAAGAAAGACAGACAGAAAGAAAGAAAGAACCTTGATAGTAGACAGGATCTGCTATATGGGTTCTGTTGATTCCTGAGCTTATTGGATTATGTGATGCAACCAATTGATTGTCATATATAACTCTGGTCTATTATGCATGTCCGGAAATATTATGCTATAAAGACAACAGAGTCACCATAGACATTCATTTCCCAAGCCTAAAGGTGGAACCTGAAGGCAATAGTTTTCACTCTTTCCCCGGATAACTGGGAATTAAAGACATAGTAAAATCAGTATAATTATTAATAACCATTCATATTTTTTCATGAATATGTATAATCTTTCAAAACCATTATTGTTGTATATCCATTTCCCCTCCAGTAATTGGCCATTCATATGAGATCACATAAAATGATACCCTTGCTATACCCTGGCCTATCAATGCTTTCAGCTAAGAGATTCCAGTTAAATATGACTCATTTTGATTGCCTGTCTGCCTCTCCATAGATTGTCCTGGCATTTGGGAATTATCTGAACAGCAGCAAACGGGGAGCAGCTTATGGATTCCGGTTGCAGAGCCTTGATGCGGTAGGTGGGAAGGACGCATGGAATGCATAGGACCTGATTTTAGGAGAAAAACATGGCCAAATAGTAGGTTGTGAACTTGAAAGTTGGTTGTGGCCACAAATCAGGAAAGAGCTAAGGCTGAGAGCAACAAGATACTGAGTTCCAATTATGCATTGGCCACACACACCATCCAAATATGTGCACCTCAGCATTTCAGAACAGGCTTTCATAATAGCAGTAGGTTGTGCTTTTTAGTAATCTTCCCCAAGCTACTATAGTTTGAGCCATTCAGCATTTCCTTACCTTGGGCTCCCTGTTGATGTTCAACTTATCGGGAATGTTGATACTGTACTCCAAGGACATGTCTTCACAATATCAGAGGTATGTTTATATAATACATCATCCAAACCAATGGGAATTAAGCAGAAGTGGGAAGAAAATTGCAGGAAAAGAAAGGGCAAGTGTTCTGTAACGGCTTGATATCTTAGTTTTTTCCTATCCTAATTGCTATTTTTCTCTGTAGCTTCTGGACATGAAATCAACAAACCGGAAACAGACACTACTTCATTATATAGTGCGGGTGATCCAAGAAAAGTATTCTGATCTTCTGAACTTTTCCAGTGAGCTGCACTTTCTGGACAAAGCAGGGACAGGTATGGAGTGGTAGGTTATGGGCAAGAAGAAAACATTGAGTCAGCTTCCTAATGAAAAATAGAGTGCTGCTTTTTTTCTTTGCCTATGGAAAATACAGGATGGCAATAGGTAGAAGAGGATCTCCCCTATAAAAAAAATGGATCTAAAAGGGAAAGTAAGTGAGGTGGAAGTACTCCAAATTGGCTGTTCTTGTTTCACCTGTCCATGCTTTTTCTCTTTCCTTCCCACCTTTATAGTGTCACTGGACAGTGTGCTTCAAGATGTGAGAAGCCTACAGCAGGGCATGGAGCTAGCACGCAAAGAATTCATGCGCCAGGATGACAGTATTGTACTCAAGGATTTCCTAAAGATGAACATAGAAATGATGGAAAAGCTTCAGGCAGACAGTAAAACTGCGCAGGTAAGGAGAAAGTGGGGCTTTGTTTAAAAGAGTTATTGCAACAATACAGTGTTTGTGGGCTTGGAAGAGAGTTCATTCATGTTGAGAAATAAAACTGTTTTTCTTTTTCTACAATCCATTTATGAATTCTCAAAGTATAAATCATGTTTTAAATGGATGTTTGTAAACTCTATACATCCATAGACTTAAAATCCAAGCAATGTTGTGACTACCCTTTCTCAGTGCCTGGAGGCTATAAGGGTCTGGATGAGGGGACCACAGGCTTCAAAAGAACCCAGGCAAGATGTTATGGGTGCAAGAGGGCCCGGTGACTTATCATCATTAACTTTTGATGTCTAGGAGGGGCTTTGTGCAACTTTTGCATTTTGTGCACCAGTTGTGATGTTACCTGGATTGTGAGGCCCTGCGCACAATCCATGGTCACTCGTGCCTTAGTCATCTCTTGGCTGGATTACTGCAATGCGCCCTACATTGAGCTATCCTTGAAGAGTATTCAGATGCAGTTAGTGCAAAATGCAGTGGTGCGCACAGTCCTGGGGGCTGCTAAGGCTCCACTTATAACACAGTTACTGTGCAAGTTGCATTGGCTACCAGTTTGCTTCCAGGTCCAATTCAAGGTGTTGGTTGTTAGCTTTAAAGCCCTACATGGCATGGGTCCAGGGTATTTGAGGAGCTGTCTCTCCCTGATGGGACAAGCCTGCCCCACTTGTGCCAGCAGAAGAGGCCTGCTATGAATCCCGTCTGCTAAGAAATTGAAGCAGGCAGGAAGAAGGAAAAGAGCCTTTTCTGCTGTGATCCCATCCCTGTGAAACATTCTTTCATTGGAGGTGAGAACTACCCATTCCTTTTGGTCTTCTGGAAGGGTATCAAAACCTGGCTTTGCCGGTTGGCCTGGAGCCCTGAGGAGGTTGATCACTACTGGAGGTGGTTGACAGGGTAAGAAGATCTCATCCCTGGCCTGTCTGTCTCTTGGCTCTTGTAAGCATGGTTTTAGCACAGTTTTTAATAATATTTTAATGTTGGTTTGTTCTAATCTTTTAACTATTTTTACTTGTTTCTACAATTTTAAGCCACCCAGAGTCACCTTGTAGGATAGATAAGCAGTATAGAAATGTAATAGATACAACAGATAAATAGATAGATAGATAGATAGAGCGAGAGAGACAGACAGACAGACAATAATGAGTTTGTGATTGACACAATAGCTCTTATAAGTGTGAATCAGTGATTGTTTTTGCTTGCTCCATAGGAGGCATATGAGTCAACAGTGGAATACTTTGGGGAGAATCCCAAGACTACTCCCCCAACTATGTTCTTCCCTACATTTGTGCGCTTTATTAAAGCATACCAGGTAAACAAAAAAAAAAAACCCTGTTTCTAATATGTTGTAGCCTGTAGACTATTTGGGTTCATCTCATGCCTGAATCATGGATTCTCGAGATGGCTACTCTCTTCTGTTTTCCATGCCACCTTTGCAATATGAATATTATGAAAGTAGTTTCCTCTATTGAAGTTTTGTAAAGTTTGGACAGAAGATGGATATAAGGAGCCTTGAATTCTTGAAATATACTAAACCAGTTTTTCTTTAACCTAAAACCTCATTAGTCATCTGGGCTGGGAGTTATGAAATACATAATTCCATTATACCTAGAGGGCATCACATTGGAGAGGGCTGCACTAAATCAATGTAAAGTTAAGACAATAATTGTGGTGTAGAAATTAATTAAATAATTATGAAAAATGTTCAGGTATAAGTTAATCTATTCAGGTGGGGGGGGGGAGGTTGACCAAGTCCATCAGTTCTCTTCCAAATTGACTGCAACTATTAAGCTATGATCCATCATAGAAATTGCCTCATTTTCTTGTCTTATTTTAAAGTATCATTCTGTGGATGGCATTTGCTGTTAATAATTTCTAATGTTTTCCTGACAATTATTATTGCAGGGATACAAAACAATCTCGTGGTAAAGGACTATTTATTGATGATGTTCATAGAAAATTGCATTAATGTAATTGAAGTTCATAAGCAAGGGTATTACAATAGTTTCTTCCAATAATAGCAGCTCATTCTTATATTGTAATTCGTTCTAATAGTAAAAAAGAAAGTTTCTGCATATTAGTATGCATGCATATTTGAGAAGTTTATACATTAAAAGAAATGTAACAATTACACACTTCTCACAACTCTCACTAACAAGCTTCTTTCATTAACAGATTGAGTGAAGCTCTAGGATCTGAAGAAGAGAGTAATACATGGCCCATGCAAAACTATGCCCTTAATGTCTTGGCAAAGTAAATTCATTGGAGGACTTCCTTGGCTCATCTTACTATGAATAATAGATTTTGATTCCACCCTATGAAAGCAAATTGACCACAGTCTGATAGATTGGGTTCTCTCAAAACCAGCCTTACATATTTTAGGCATCAATAAATCCTTAGCAGAATTCAAGTAGAAGGCCTGGAATTTGATATTCAGTCAGATAGGGCAAACATTTCCCATCTTTATTATACAAAGAATCACCCCACCTCCTGGACTCTCCCTAGCTATTTTTGAATGCTTCAAATAGGAAGATTTTTAGTGTGGCTTTAATCAATGCATTAATATCATGGTATTATGGTAACAACTGAAAGATATTTCAACCTCCTAAAAATGGCCCTTGCTTAAACAGCCACTTGTTCAGCAACTGCTCAACTAATGGCACTGAACAAGTGGCATTATTGACCAGTGCTTGACATTTCAGCTGTTGCAGCATCCCCACAGTTACATGATCTCAATCCAGGGGCTAGGCAACCAGCTGACAATTAAATCAGTTTTCTGTAGTCATGTGATTGCCACTTGCAAGCTTCACAGCCAGCTTCTGAAAAGAAAGTCAATGGAGAAGCCAGGAGGGAAAGTCACAAATGGTAACCATGTGATATCAAAATTATTTCAAAGAAAGAAAAGCAGAGTGTGCAAAGGAGAAATGGGCCATAATCTTTGTTGAGGGGAAAACATCTCATTGTATAATAAATCAGTGTTTCTCAACCATGACAATTTTAAGATGTATGAACTTCAATTCCCAGAATTCCTCACCAACAAAGTTACCAAGGTTTAAAAACAATAGTCTATGACATATCCATGTTTGCTTAATAGGATTGTTATTTTTTTCTCATTCCACTAATATAAAGAAAGCAGAGGAAGATATCAAAGTGTGGAAGAAGCAAGAAGCAGCTGCCAAAGAAGAGGAGTCAATTTCCCCTGACAAGGAGGAACAGGCAGTACCCAAGGTATGGGTTAAGATTTTCTCATCCTTTCCTCGTTTTCCAAAATCTACAACATATTCTTCTCCATAAGTGGACTTACTTCTTATACATCACTGTTGGGTGAGCTTTACAGACATCTTCACTTTCATCATGATACATGGGTAACCATAGCAACAATTTCTCTTCCTTAGCAATCTCCCACCCATAAGGCCAAACGACAACAGATGGACCTCATAGCTGAGCTAAAGAAAAAGCAGATGGTGAAGGAGCCTCTCATTTATGAAGAGAAGGATGGTGCCATTGAAGACATTATTTCAGGTGAGAAGGGAAATTGACAGATTTATCAAAAATTTCTGAAATCTCTGGAGATCCTCCCTAAAGGCCCAAACATGAAGTGATAACTGCTCAGAAACATATTGACTGGGAAAACTGATCCTTTGTGACCTACAAATAATTTGTTCCAAGTTACTGTTGCTCTTTGGTTCTAGCTGGGAAAGCAAATGAGGTGTGGCAATATTTTTCATTGCATGGATACTGTTGAGGATCTTTCTGCATATCTCTGGGTAGCAATAAGCTGGCATATGTTACTTCTTTGGGTCCCTACCATATTTGTTGAGAAGATAGCATTATGTAGCATATTTCTAAGATTCATTTAAGCTGCCCACTTAATTTTTCTTATTGCAGATGTGAACTATATTTTTTCTTACAGTTTTATCCTGCCAAATTGAACTAATAATAGCAAGGTATAACAATGAAATAGATAATTATTGATTACAAGCCATGCCTTGTCTGAGTTTCTTTTCTTCGAGGATAATATGCTCAAAGCACTATCAAAACATTAAACTATGTAAACCCATCAATAGAAATAGAAGATAAAATCCAGGAAACTGTATACAAAGAATATACACCAAGGGTGTCAAACTGCTAGCCCGCAGGCCAGATGTGTCACGCCAAAACCGTGCCAACACCATTGCTGGCAATGGGAAAAAAGTTGTGGTATGTCACGCCATGCCACGCCACGTGACATCGCGAGTTTTACACTCGTGATATACACCATGAGTAAGATGAATTTAGATTTAGTTATACAGCTGGATTGATGAAGGCAAATTTCCCCTTCCAGCCCTAAAAATACTACAGTATGCAGGAGATGGAAACTTTGTAGAAGAAAGCAAGCTGTAGTACAGTGAAAATGGGAAACTTTCCCATTTTCAGGAAAGTCATAGAAAATTAAAATGTATGAGCAGAGCTTTGATCATGGAAAGTACCTTTGTTTCTGGTTCTCCCCCCCCCCCCGCCCCTTCCATGTAGCACTTTCAGAAACGCAGAAAGGCTGTGGGAGGAAAAGTAATAAGTATCTCTACTTCTGTAATCCCAATTCATGTCTAAATCTGGATTTATCTTCTTGGCAAATTTGTATTGGTAGAAGCTAGCTATACATGGATTCATGATCTTGAAGCTCTGTGGGACTTTAAAGGATGTTTCTGACACTAGCTATTCATTTACTTCTGACTTTTTGACTTGTTTCTCTTTTGCCCTTCTTAAGCCTTATCACTTCTTTTGGAAATCATGTTCATTTGCTTTTACTAACTCCTGCAAGATACCACACTCAATTTAGATATACCAATATCTTTCTCCTGCCTTGGATTCTCAAAGAATACATCCATCTTGCAAATTTGGGGATTAATATTATGTCATGGCATCAACATCTAGCCAATTGTGCTAATTTCAGAAACTGAGGAGGTCAGCCTTAATTATTTGATTTATATTCCACCTCGTTCAGGAACTCAGAATGGTATCCATAATGCTCCTGCTTCCTATTTTTCTCCATAGCAGCAACCTGTTAGTATTGGATGGGGGACATCTAGTAAAATGAGGTTGTTACTAAACTGAGAAGCCTGGGAGGAGAAAATAAGTGGGTAATCACTTAGATATTATTGCCAAGGAAAGTACACGGACTCAGCCAATGGCTCATTCAAGGGCATCTTGATCTTGAATATGACATGAGGGGTTGGGGCTAGATGGCTGTGGAGTCTCTTAAAAGAGAGCAGGTAGCCTTTCTCTAGATACCTTTTGTAGTAAGTAGAGTAATGCAACTTACTATCAAGGTATATTTCTTTGTACAACCCATTCTTTCACTTGCCCACTGCCTTTCCTTTCTTTTTTCTTTTTTTCCTCTTCTTTCCTCCCTGAACTGTCCTTTTTTAGCTTTGAAAACTATTCCTTTTACTGCTCGGACGGGGAAACGTTCATCTCGCCTCTTCTGCGATGCCAGCTTCAATGAAGAAAGCCCACTGTAACTTGTGGCTTTAGGTAACATTGGTCAGCAGCAGGAGCTGAATTTATTTGGGGGAAGGGATATGAATTAGTATGACAGATTAACACTTTCCAACAGAGAGGAGATTCTCTAAACATATTTGGAGCACCTATCCTCATTGAGTCTGTCAGAATGGCCCAAAAAGGACCCCCTTTTTTATTCTCAAATTCTCATCTGACAGGAAAATTACACTCTCCATATGAGCATCATGACTGGAGATTTAATCTCCCCATTATATCCATCTAGCTTTCCCAAGTAAAGAGCAAAAAACAAGTACTTTTATGATACATGCTTATTTTTAATTTGTACTGAAATTTTAGTGTCTGATGCAAAGATGTCGGGTTTCTCTAAAGTATTCTTGGCAACAGCCAAATTTTAGATACTTTTAACAAAAGTTTAAAGCTGGAACCCCAACATTTTTTCAAACATAGTGAATACTGAGAAGCAGGTAAAATAATTTCTTCTCTATTTATTAAAAATGTTCTATGGTTTTTTTTGGTTGGGTGGAGAATATGTACTTTCAAAAACCATAATTGAGTTTTCTTTTATGGCAGGTCTGCGTATCCAGCCATACCGACGGGGGGACACTGGTCGGCACAGTGGCAAAAAACGGACCACTGGGCAGACTCTTCAGGCAACCTCCGAGATCTCACTGTGACAGCCTTGAATGAGAACAAGCTAAATAAGTCTTGGTTTGCTGGGTGAAGCAAGGACTCAGGCCTGGACCAAAGACTTTCCCCACCAAGGAATAAAGGGACTCAGGCCAGGATGACTGTCTTCTCCCCTCCCCCACATATACACTCACTTATAACCTTTGCACATGTAAGTCCTGCTGGCTACATTCCCACTGGATCAACAACATTGCTTCATCTAATAAGCAACAATCATCTTGCCCACATTTGACTGACCTACCATGGCAGCAGTCAGCAGGATGGTCCCTCTAACACAGGGACAGCCACTGGTGCTAGAAACCTCCACCACGAAATCACAAGAAGCATCTTCAATCTCCAAAAAATTTTGTGGCTGCTGCTGCCTCTACAGAAGAAGAAAGCAATTTGATCCAGATCCTTTTCTCCCTGCTTCCTTTTCTATCCAACCTATTCTGATTTCTTTATCTAGGGCATTCATTCTATTTTAGTTCTCCAGTTCCTCTTCCATACTAGAAACAAGTTGGGAGAGGATTGTCTGTTTTCCTTCAAGCGTCACAAAAAATTGTGTTTGTCTAAGTACTGATGTGGTTGTAAGGATGATTACTTCCTGAGAAAGTGTAACTTCAGGATCATTTAAGCCATTATAGCATAGCAAAACAGGGCTAATTAATTAATAAATCCAAGCTGTTTCTGAGTGGAGCAAACACCAAGTATACAATAGCATTCTGTTCTAGCTTTTTAAAAATTTTTTTTGCAAAGGTGCTGCATTAATTTCATCACTTTAGAATCTAAACCATATTCAGCATGTCAGCTTTCTGATATGGAATGAGTTGGCTTCAGTGGCCTATAGCCTTTTCTTTTTGCAAAATCTCACGATTGGTTCTGGCCACATACAGTCCTGTTGCTTCCTTAGAGTTATGAATATATGACAAGTTCTTAGAGTTGTGAAAAGGGAAATAAGGGAACAACAGGAATCGTGGTTTTTTTTGTCCTTTTTATATATTTTCATACTATCCAGGTCTGCCCCATATTGTGATCTATATTTCATATTCTACTACATGTCAACTGTAACTGCATGACTGTTGCATCCAATGTAATTAGAAACCCATTGAAAACAATGTTGCTCTTCTCTCTCTCTCTCTCTAGCAAATGGTTTCCCATGATTATATATTCCTCTAGAATATTTAGTGAGTTCAGCATCCTTTTCTAGCACAACAATCAGTCTAGGGAATTAATCTGGTCAGTTGAACAGCATCTCAGGATTTAGCAAAATTTGGCATTCAAAAACTACTCATTCTTCTGAGTATTGGTGACAATCACACTGGTTATGGGAATTGCTGTTCTTTTTCTTGCCACATGGTGTCATTCTTCTGTGGCTGAACACGTTTTTCTTCCGGGTTGCTGCCAGTATATATATATTACATATTACATATAATATATTATCTCCCCACTTCCAACCTTCAGATGTATATTCTTAGGAGCTTTACTACAAGAGACAGAAAAATATAGAGTGAAAGTGACATTAGATAATTCAGGAGATCTTTAATAAAAATTCAATCCATTATTACAATGCATAGTTCTAATTCTATACTGAGATTTACAAGTGTTTGTTCATCTGAAGGATACCACATCCTAATCCAATTGCATGTTTCCCCACTTGCTGGAAACCTGGGGAATGGGGTTAACTCATGGAAAATGCTTCCCCCCCCCCTTTTGTAGCTCCACTGTACAGGCAACAGACAATACATCTTACTCCCTCTCCCAAATCAAGCCAGTTTTTATGGGTTCTAGCTTTCCCTTCATTTGCTGAGGGAGAACAGATTATAGTCTCTAAAGTATATAGAGGGGAAGAGCAATTTGTCCATGCCCCTCTTTTTCGGGTGGGTGGGTGTGGAGGAGGCATGGTTACAATACCTTTATTTTGTATTATCTGACTCCCTCTGGAGCACTTTATGCCTGATGCAAAGTTGCACTTTGTTTTTCCCTCTCAAACTCCAGCATGCAGTAACATATTGCAATAACTACCTATTTCAGGAGAGATTAGATATGCATGGACCACAAATTTGTTCAGTCTCAACTGAAACAAAATCCTCAACCGCCTTTAACAATACTATGGCCAGGTCCCTACTGTCCATCCCAAACCTGTTGTAGACTAGGTATGCTTAGAAGCCCAGTTTTAGGCTACCATCGCTTTCCCCATAATTTAAGAAAAACTAAAATTATCACAGTAAATGCTCAGAATAGCACAATTCTTTATGCCATGTCTGGGAGCAAGGGGAAAGGTGGGAGGAATGGTTAGAAAAACAATTGAATGTGGAACTTAATTGTTTTCTTAAGATGCCTTGAATGCTGTAGATGAGCCACAATGCTCTACATAACTTGTATACATTATTTTTATATATGGTGTGTGAATTGCATTTAACCCAAAGCAAGTTAACAAATGAGAAAATATAATACGTGTATTGTAACAATGAAAATTATGTTCTTGTTTGGGACGCATGCTGGGCTCAGATTCTTAAGACAGGAAATATTCAAAATTGCAAGAAATCCCTCAAAGAGGAACCAATACAAGTTGTAATAATATCAAGGTGTCCACAGATGCATCCTATGATCACAAACTCATGGCAGCTCAGAACTCTAGTCAAGATGTGAGATAAGCAAAGGAGCTTAGACTACCCAACTGGTACATTTAAACTTACTTGCCCTGTCTGGTTTATAAATAATGGCTCTTCATAACTGAAGTTAGTCTTCTTAGGTTTCATACTTTCTAGATGTTGTGACTGAGAAAAATATCCAAGTGAACAGTATGATAAGTATCAATTTTACCACTAACAGCACAAAACTGCCACCTCATTCATTCTCACCTAGAGTTCACAGGCTATTTACCTTTCCCTGCCCCAAAGAATAAAACCATTAATTTAGATGGTTTGTAAAAGATGTTGCAACTTAGTTAAAATGCAGATGACTATATCCATGCACTTTTTCTCAGCAGATGTAGTTTGCCTTTCAGAATGTGTTTTCAACTTCCCAGGTTAGCCAAGGAACACATTTTTGTACTGCAAGCATATCTGATAGTTGTTAATCCATAATAGATTCAGAATGATTTCCCTCTGAGTACTACATGTCGGATAGATAAATTGATCTGGTCAGTTTCAGAAGTCAAATGTTTGAGAGACTAACTTAGGGGTCTTCAGACTTGGCCCTTTTATGACTTGTGGACTTCAACTCCCGGAATTACTCAGCTAACATGCGTGGCTGAGGACTTCTGGGAGTTGGAAGTGCAGAAGTCATAAAAGGGCCAAGTTTGAAGACCCCTGGACTAACCACTGCTGGAATACCACACTTCTGCTTATATAACTAGTAGACTCTAGTCTCAGCCCCCCCTACTATTGTGTGATTAAAATATATACAGTACTCTAAATTTTAAGGTCAGGTTTCTACCACACTAAACCAAAATGCTTTGAACGTACATGAACACGCCATCATTTTATTTGGTTTATAAACCCATATGTGTTAGAGACTTAAGGTGACTTTCATGATAACTCCATTTTATCCCAACAGCCACCTTGGGCTGGGTTGATAGCAAATGACTGACCTAAAGATATCACTTAAATATTCATTAAAAACTATTCAAGTATCCATGGATGAACTTGGGACTTTAATCTGTTCAAGCTAGTCATTCTCACAATATTTTAAAGCCCTCCCTCTTATTGCATTGTAGGATTTGAATCAAAGATTGAAACTTACAGTACCTAGAGCCAAAATGGTTATTATTTTGGTTTTACAAAATTCTTGCACTTTATGACAAGGCTAAGTTATGGAGCTTCAGTGATAATTGTTTCAGATCCAGACAACACAACAGACCCTGAATTGGATAAAATGCAATGTGCAAGGGAATGAAGAAATGCCAGCACTTTATGAGTTCAAATTTTCAGTTGCACATGGGTAAAGATAGCCTTTCTAGTGTTGTTTTGGCAAAAGAAAGGCTTACTTGTCAAACTCATTCACAAAGCTAAATCCTTCAGCAGCCCTCCTGGTAATGGCTGTTCCCCAGCTTTCCCTATAATTGACAAACATTTTATTCCCAATTTTTTATTCCAAATTACAAATCAATTGTAAGTTGCATGAATTACAATTTAAGATGTGGAAAATGAAATTTTTCTTCAAAAGACAAATACTTATCAATGTTGGGCATTAATTTTTATAAAGCAATCTCTACTGTAAAGGACAGTAGACACCCCTTGTCATCAGCATGAGTTATTTTATGGCTTTCCCAAAGAAATCATTGTGGGAGACAGTATGCTGGTTTTGGTATGTGATGAGACTGTCACGTCTGCACCAAAATCAGACATTGTATGCTTCTGTTGCAAATTCGTAAACTATACTTAGTTATTACTGAGTAATCAATATCCACCCACCCTTAGCCAAAGTTCCGAAGAAAAGAGAAACAGTAGAAAAATAGTCAAATAAATAGATGCCACCAAAGTATGAGCTAGAGGCACTGTGATTTAATTTCCTTGATTGAAAAAGGTATATTTAGCCTTCCCACTTTACAAACTTCATTGACAGTTAAAAAGTAGTAGCAGTTACTATTAATCTTCACAGAATCACAGACAACATATATTGTGCTTATATGACATGATTATACAGTTAATAAGATTTATTTTTCTGGACTGAGACAGCACACTGAACCATAAACTGATACAGCTAATACAGGTCTTCAGAAAACACTAGACTAAATATAGCTGGCAAGTTTGTGGTTCAGTGCATCACATGAAATGAATCAGTGATTTTCATTTAAAATCTATCTGTATGTTCTCTCCCCCCTCTTTTTCCCCTCCATTAAAATATATTTTAAGTTGAAAACAACAAAATGAACACAGTTTAGAAGCATCTTTAGGCCACTCTGATTACTATCCTGGTTTTGGCAAAAGCAACTCCAATCTAAAGAACTGTTCCAAATAATTCTTTCATTTTATTCATCTTAAAAAGCTTTGTGGCATTTCTGGAGCTGGACTGGAGGAAAAAGTATCTAAGATAGAGAGGCTGTGTAATGCTGTGGCTTCTAGCATTCCATCTGTTGGCTTTTTCAAAACCAATATAATCTCAACATTGAAAAAATGGACAGACTTTGCAAGCAAATTAGTTACTTAACAGTTTGAACACTGGAAGCAAGAAAGTTAATAAATTCTCCACACAGAAAGCTAATAATATTTTTTAAAAACTCAAGCAGAGTTTTTAAAAAATGGCTCGATTCATATAATGCTCTTAAGTACTATGAACAAATTGTTGTCATCATTTGCTCAATATGCCATTGTGGCTTGACTTGATGCTACAGAGAGTTAATTTATATGTATCACACTACAAAACAACATACATGTACAGATCCATGATCTATGAGCTCAGCTGGTATGTGCTCACTATCACTACCTCACCACAACTGCAAATCTGACAAATAACTTACTTTATACCAAAAAACAAAACAAATGGAGAAAGCATGCATGATGATGAAGATGAAAAAAATATTGTGCTTTTCTGTATATTAATCTAGATCCCTATTTCTTGGTTTAGGGTCTGCTACTTCCTTTGCAGGAAGCAATATGCTGCAAGTAGATTAACTGGGGAGGCAAAGACCCCTGGATTACAATCACAGGTACTTAAGATATCAAGATAAACTTTCAGATTTTTCAAAATGTGAAAAATGGTTACTCCCCTGATGCATATAGATACTTCATATTGCTATGTTTTTTCCTTTGGATTGGATCATAAATCATCCATTGCTGCTAATTAAGAAAAGTTGCTTGAAATAGTCAAGATTTCCACAAGACACTGACTGAGAAAGCTGTATAATCTACAGAGGGCAATTTGTACTTTTTTTTTAAAAAAAGGTTATCTCCAGTTAGGAACTACGCTGACAGCTGTGATCGGCTCTACAGCCAGTTTCTTCTCCATAATTTTTTAAAAAATAGTTCTTTCAGTTCCAACTTGAAATTGAGTGACAGCTAAAAATAGAATTTACTTATCTATCTTTCTTTCACATGAAAGCTTACCAGCTATTGAGAGAATACAGTACGAAACGATTCTATAGACTGTAGTCCCAAACCACAGTACTTACAAATTAAATTTTCAATGGCAAAATTAGAGGCTGCTTCCTTCCCCTTTTCATCCAGCCACTGTGGTCCTGAGGAGATATTTTAATATAGCCTCTCCTGATTATTGTGGCAATTTTTTGAACCACAAACTCCATAAGATCATTAGATTATTGAATTGCAAGAGCAATGATTCCAATTCTGAATAGCATTTAAAGAATTAAATAAACAACAATTATATGAACTTCAGACAACTGAAATCACACACAATCATAAACACTTACTGGTCTATTTCAGCTTTCTGTTGTACCAACTAGGAAGATACTGCTGCTTAGAGCACAACAATGATCAAATTAGCAGGATATTCAAGCAAGATTTCAAATGCAATACAATACAGCTTTTAATAGACCAGACTACAGACTCTTGCCAATCAAGGAATAAATTATTATTAAGGCACAATTTTAAGCTTCTAGAAAATAATCTACTTGTTTAGAATTACAGTAAATTTAGAAGCCAGTGAAAGTAGCAACAAATTTTATTATCCAACAGTAAAGTCAAGTTAGAAATGAAGATGTTGTTTAACTCTGATGTGAAATGAGACATTTAGAAGGAGAAAGATTACAGAGTTTACAGTTGCTATATGGCCAAATTTTTGTAATTTACACATTAACTCTAGCTGCCTAGGAATTACATTTGAAAAGATGGATTGAAAAGATGCTGCCCTCCAGAATTTGCCCTGGTGAAGAAGTATGGATGTTTGGGAAAAGAAGTATAAAAATCTTGACAATTTAGTTGGAATTTAGGCACTGAAAATCAGGCTGGTCTACTGCTCTCAAACCCAAATGTTATTTTCTTTGAGAGAGAGGGATAAAAATCAGGCACGTTTTTAAATCCTCTCCACCCCATTTTTATTTATGAATTGGATTTATCTTTTCTATATAATTTCAAAGTTCAACCAAAAACAATTATGGGTGAACACACTCCAGATGTAATTCAGAACATGCCAGATGAGGTTTTGTGAATGAGGTATCTTTGCACTTATTCTTTTTACACCCCTAGTCCAACAATATTCATTTATGCGACCAGAGTTCTTCCCATAAAACCTACCACAGAGTAATAAAATCAATCTGGTCAACTAAAAACAAGACTAATAACACTACAAGGACTTGCCTAATCTATCTCAAGTTTAGATTTTTGCTTCAAACTATCATTGCATAGATGGAATCTAATCTCTATGAGCATTTAGACTGTAGTAAGCCTTGGTGCATTCAAAGACTTATTTCTTATAAACAGTAATAGATTGATGTAATTCTCTCTCATTTATGAGTATAAAAATATTAAAAAATTAATGCCCTCTTGAAAAATATTATTTGTTTAATCTTAAAAAACTATCTGTATTCAGACTGGTAGTTAAAAACTCTCTGATAAACATGTAATTCAGCTCTGTAAAACAGATGTGTCCAATCTTTTTGCTTCCTGGGCCACATTGAATGGAAAATAATTGTCTTGAACTGCATACAAAATATATAATATAATTAATGTATCTACCTAAGTAATATATATATCTTAGATACATTAATTATAGGGCTGCAAGTTGGACATGCCTGGTGTAAATTGTACAAGAAGAAAATGAATTAATATATAGTTTCTATGTGAGTGATAAAATTATTGCTTCTGCAGAGATATATTGGTTATGCACTCATTATACACTGGCTATTATATTTGGAGGTCATACATTCCTCCAAGGAATTCAAAAGCTCAGATTGTAAAAAAGCATGTTAAAAGATGACCAAAAAAATCACTTAATTAGGATAGTCCTTGATAGTGGGATTAAGGAATCACAGCAACTTATGTTCCTCCAAGCTTCTGAGTTTGATTTTGTTAAATGCAGCCTAACCATTCAACTCTACATAGATGTTCATCCCATAACACCTTCCATAGGCACTGGATGTGGCAAACAAGCAAATAAGGAACCTATAATTTGCTTTAGCAGCCAGCCAACAACTTTCTGCATTGATTTTTCTGCAAAGTCACATTTGTTGAATATAAGATGTGAGGAGGAAAAAGGCTTTACAGCTGCTTCTCTAACTGACCATGTTTGACCCTCCACTTCCAGCCAGAACTGCAATCAGGAGCCAAAATGCACTGAAGTTCAATGCCTGAATCAGGGACCTCCATATCACAATGGACAGGATCACCTTCTTTTGTGAAGAAGCTGAATGCAGAGGCTGGTATCTAAGAAAACAAAACAAAATAAAAAGCAAGTAAAGGAAACCCACTCTACTATAGGTACATATTATTGGCAATCCTAAATAACACCTGTATAAATCTGTCAAATCACCCTCTGAACCCACCAGCTCCTGTTTTGTGACCCACGGCATGCCTCTGGACTTTTACAAAACTTGGATTTAAGGATGAAGTAAATCATCCAATTGGGGCAGGGCTATGGCATCCCAGACTGGATTAGAAACTGTAGTCCCACCCATTTCAGTGATATCTAAGATATAAAATTATTACTGCCATAGAAAAGTTGTTGACCTTGCAAAATATAGATTTCCTTCTTCACCGAAAGCTCTATTTTAATACGTAGCCAAAAAAGACAGGCTCTCCAGCACAATGCCTACCTGGCTGCTAATTCCAGTGGCAATATCTCCCACCTTAGTTCCACGGAATTCTCTGATGTGGAGGCTTTCCCCACTAAGCAAGCAGATCTCAATTTTCACCCCTGGAGAAAATAAAAGAGAGACAAAATAACTTTTTGTTCTGATTTTATTGCAAATAACCTTATTCTGTAGAGATCAATAGTTCTCAATCTTCCTTCTATCCATCCCTGGACTAAACTCCCTTCATCAAACATATGATGCTCCTCAATATTCCAGATAATACTAGTGCAAAAATAGATAATTAGGCTAATATTTCCAATACTGATGACTTTAAGGTATGTGGACAGCATGTGGACTTCAACACACAGCATGTGGACTTCAATACACACATTGGCTGAGAAATCCTGAAACTTGAAGCCCAAACATGTTTAAAGTTGGTAAGAGTGGGAAACATGGATTTAGACCATGGTTCTCCAACTTTTGGCTTCTCTGAGTTGCACTTAGTGAAGAGGAATTTTTAGGCCACACATATAAAATATATAATTTTATGTCAAACTTCCTTTATTTTTTTTTATTAATCCCGTGGAGCTGCATTACTAACTGTCCAGGGCCACATACAGATCATGGCTTGGACATGCCTGATTCAGACATCTGATCCAAACCCTGGTCAGTGTAAGAATCCAAATGAAAACAACAGGATTTAAAAGAATCCAAAAGCCACAAATATATTATAAGCATCCAGATTTCATTAATTTTGTTGTTGCCACTTTTTAAAAAAATTCAGCTGAACACAGATTTTACAATCATTTTGAAAATAATATAACATACACATAACTAGATTAATCTTTGAAATCTCATGGCACATTTAAGTTGTCTTTAAGTCTTTAAAACAGCCAAAATCTTCACCATTTAGCTTTATCAAATAAATGTTTTCCAGAACTTAGGTTAGATTGTTACTAGAAAAATCTAGTAAATAATGGGAAAGAATAATTATTTTCTAGGGTGCTATATCCTATTGTTCTAGCTCATAACTCCATAATTCATGTAGTAATATTGATTTTTAAAAAATCATATTTGACAAACACCATCAAAAAAGGTAATATGTAGTTATCATTCTATAACCATATCTTACCATTAACATAAGTGGGCATATCTGTATTTCCGCTACGATTCAGCCAGCTGTTCCAACTGGTGCTCTGCCCATCTGCTTGGCTGTTCCAGGAATGTACACCTGAACTCATGGTATCTTTCAGACTGTGGGACATTTTCAATGAGCCCTAAAAGATCAAAAAAGGAGGAGCAATTGCATTTTTTTTTTTGGCTTGGCTGTCAAATATATCTTTTTGTTACATTCTTTTTTGCATTCTTTTCTTCAATCTGTATACCTGCCCCGCCCTTGCCGCAACTCCTAAAACACACAGAAACTACTCAAGAAATGCTAGAGAGTACAAATCTGTACATGGCCTTGCATTTGACACCTAGTATATGGAGAAAAAGATAAGTATGAATATTTTCAAGCATGAGAAGTAAGGAATGTATTTTGCATGCTAACATGCAAGTCCTAGTGGACAATCACCTAAATATGAGCCAGCAGTGTGCTGCAGCTGCCAAAAAGGCCAACGCAATGCTGGGCTGCATTAACAGACGGATAAAATCAAGATCACGTGAAGTATTAATACCACTTTACAATGCCTTAGTAAGGCCACACTTGGAATACTGCATCCAGTTTTGGTCACCGGGATGTAAAAAAGATGTTGAGACTCTAGAAAGAGTACAGAGAAGAGCAACAAAGATGATTAGGGGACTGGAGGCTAAAACATATAAAGAACGGCTGCTGGAATTGGGTATGTCTAGTTTAAGGAAGAGAAGGACGAGGAGGGACATGATCGCAGTGTTCCAGTATCTCAGGAGCTGCCACAAAGAAGAGGGAGTCAAGCTATTTTCCAAGGTGCCTGAAGGCAGGACAAGAAGCAACAGATGGAAACTAATCAAGGAGAGAAGCAACCTAGAACTAAGGAGAAACTTCCAGCAGTTAGAACAATTAACCAGTGGAACAACCTGCTTCCAGAAGCGGTGAATGCTCCAACAATGGAAGTTTTTAAGAAGAGACTGGACAGCCATTTGTCCAAAATGGTGTAGGGTTTCGTCCCTAAGCAGGGGGTTGGACTAGATGACCTCCAAGGTCCCTTCCAACTTTACTATTATTATTGTTATTATTATTGCTAAAGAAAAGCTATACGTGAGACATAGAGACAAGAAGAGAGAGGAAGACAATTTTATTTTAGCATGCATATGAGTTTTGGAATGTTCATGGATAATGGAACTTCTAACCAACTGTTTATGGAGTTGACAATTTGTCCAAGTGCCATGCCTCAGTACTGAAATATTCTAGATGGAAAAGATGTATCAACCAACACTACTGCTTAGGCAGATGAGAAGGGGGACATACAGAGAAGAATAGCTCAGCTTGTTTGTAAGATTCTGGGGTAACAGTTCAAGGATTCAGGGGTGATGTGATATGAAAGAAAAATGTAAACATTCCCTGGGAATATCTATACCCTAAGGGTGAAGGTTCGTTCTCTTGAGCTTGTGGGTTGGTTTTTGAACGTTTTGTTATCATGCTAGGTAACATCTTCAGCGGAGTAATCTAGATAACCTTTATCCTCATCCTACACCTGAACTACAGATATTCGCCACTATTGAGTATCTATACCAGGGGTAGGCAATCTTGGCTCTTTTATGACTCGTGGACTTCAACTCCTAGAATTCTTGAGCCAGCCAGCATGGCTGGCTAAGGAATTCTGGGAGTTGAAGTCCGCAAGTCATAAAAGAGCCAAGATTGCCTACCCCTGATCTATACCCTTTTATCATAGGATACTATTTATTATATTTTGTTATATTTAGATTCCATTGGTTGTGACTCATGGAAGTTCTTTACATTTTGGCTGAGAGTGAATAGCTGGCCAAAATTCATCCAGTTGATTCCACAATTGAGTGAAGATTTGAATCTGATCTCCCTGTTCTAGTCCAACAATAAAAAATACTACACTGTACTGATGTAACTAAATTGCAGTGAGTAGAGGTTATAGTTTTCCAGAAAAGCACAAAGCTCTAGAAATGATCTGAAGTGAATGGAAAAGAGATTGGAAAGAAATGCTGAAGACTTTTTCACCATACAGGTAGTCCTTGATTTATGATTATTCATTCATTCACTCATTTGAAATTACAGCACTGCTGAAAAAAAATGACTTATGACTGTTCCCTGAAGTTATGGCCATTGCATTGTCCCATGGTCATGTGATCAAAATTTGGGTTCTTGGCAGCCTGCCCACACTTACAAACACAGGGTCCTTCAACTTACCCCACCAGCCTTTCTCTTGCCCATCTATCCTTTTGGATAGCAGCATTCCTTGCCAGCTGCATCAAAGCTGGGGCTGAAGTAGCAGCCCAGGGCCTTCAGCAGTCGTAGCCAGCTGCTATTATCCACGAGGCCTTTATTTCAGTCAGAGCTGCAGCTGACACCCAAAGACCACAGCACAAAGCACTAGTGGCCATCACTGACCTGCACCCTCCAGGCCTGCTGCACCTAGTTGACTTTTGCTATCTTCCTCCTGCTACTGACAAGGCTTGCTTGGCCTGACCCTTTTCAAGGCAGCTGCTGGCTGTACTGGGCCTTCTTCCTAAGGTCACTTGTAACATTCTCCAAATAGTGTGTCCTGTGCTTGTAATGCTTCAGAAAGCCTTTGGAAATTTTCTAAGGTCTTCCAAAGCATTGCAAGAGACGGATGCCTGCCTTTCTCTAAATAGGGTACCCGTTTTCAAAAATCTTAGAGAACAGGATGCACTATTTGGAGAATGGAATGCACAATTTAGAGACTGGAGCAAGCAGCCTTGGAAAGAAGGCCTGGCATGGTCAGGAGCTGTCTTGTGAGGGCCCAAGGCAGTTATGCCTTGTCAGCAGCAGGAGCAAGAAATCAGTGAGGGTCAGCTAGACTGATGAAGCGCAGGGCAACAAGGGCGGCTGAGCCAGGGCTTTCCACTTTGCTGGCCAGGGCTTCCTGGGACCACTACCTTGTGCTGTGCTGTAGCTGAGCGGGTTCTTACAGCCTCAGAACCATGACATGCCAAGAAGACTCTGAGCTGAATTGTATTATTTCTCTTTCCTCCTTCCTGTCCCACTGTACTCTAGCATCCCCACAAACTTGGGTGCAGTCTGCATCTGGTCTCCAGGGCTCAATCCCCCTGCCCTGCCCCCTATGCTCTTTATTTATTTATCAATATCACTTTCAGATTGACTCTGAGTTTACAGCTAAAAGCATAATAAGCACATAAAAATAGATTAGTAAAATGGGAGCCAAGTAAAAAGCAAAGATGAAATAAAAGTTTAAAAAGTGGATGGAGAACATGCAAAGCAACAACAATCCCCAGGATTATATGCCAGTCTGATCCCACAAGGGTTGGCATAGCCAGGTCTTCATATCCTTCTAAAAGACCTGGAGAGAGGGGCTTGCCACCCCTTTATGAAGAGAAAATTCCAGAGGACTGAGGCAGTGGCAGAGAAGGCTCTCTTCGATCCTGACAGGTGAAATATTCTTCCTATCTGACTGATGTGATTGGTGGGGAGGGGGGGTGTTATGTATTTACTTTTTCCACTTTCTGATATATCTGGAGTTATGATGTCCACCAGGACTGCCAGGATTGCCATTGCTAAGTAATGGAGTCACACTTTACAGTTGCATTGCTTAATGACAGAAATCCTGGTCCCAGTTGTGGGTTATAAGTCAAGGACTACTTGTCCCTTCTCTGACCCAGAAGATTGTGTGGGCATTTGAGTATATTAGATCAATCACACATTTTATTATTTATTTCTTCTATTATTGGGTGAAGGAAATAAATATGCATTTCTCAATAGAATCTAGATTGGGATTCTATTACAAAAACAGTTTTCCTTCATAGCATAAACAGGGCACAAACTTGAAACAGGAACACACAGTAAAAGATACGAATGTACAAGGCATTCAGATATGCTCAAATTGTTCTAAATAGGAATTTAGATACCTATTTAGATACAGTCCTTCTTGACTATTTTGACTTGGGCAATCTACTGCAATTGTTCATAGCAACTGTTCATCCTCATGTAGTTACCTTTTCACTAGCATCTGATGGGAGGAAGCTGTCCAAGCTGAAGCACGACAACATTTGTTCCTGTTCTTCCAGTGAAAAGGGTTGAGAGAGGCTATTCAAAATCAGATCTGTGGAAAGGGGAATGGACTAAAATGAAGACATTGAAGACTGTGCACTGTCGGCATTAAAAGGTTCTGCCTTCCGCGACTACTCTTAATTGATCTGGACTAACTATTTCTGGATTCATTATTAAAACAAAAAAGGACCCCATCATCTCTTCATTAACATTTCAAAATATAATGATTATAGTTTTGATTTTGCTTCCAATAATAAATTAAATCAAGTTCCATAGATCTGTTGTTTTTATAAATGTGTATTGTATCTATACTAATTCATGTGTGCCAGCTATTATATTTAGTTTTAAACATATTAGCATGCATTTTTCATTTTAATTTCTTATATTAATTTCTCCTTCTCTAAAACACAGGTTTTTTTCCTCAAAAGTTTAATCCAGTTAAAGCCTAAGCACTTTTACTATTTATTTTGTCTTTGGCATTTCCAAAATAATCTGCCAATGAAAGATTTTTAAAAATTTTATTTAGTTTATTTGTAAACAGAATATTTGTAACTCTGAAAAAAAATGAACATGGATATAGCATTTTGGCCATTAGCATGTACTAAGGTAAAATCTGGTTCCTCTGAATCCTAAGAACAAGATCCTTAAAGATGTTTGAGATAAGTATTTGGAACGTTAGGTACTTCAAAATGATTTGGAAGAAGTGGTTTGGATTTCATGCAAGTATAAGCACAGCAGCTTTCTACTTATTACAGCAGCCACACTGAAACTTAAAAATAAAAGACAATGTTTTAATGAAAAGTAAAAACGTGCTATGCCAAAGCAAAGTATGAAGCACTTCTTCTAAATCATTTTTGAAACACTGAACTGCCTTAATAATGAATCCCTTTCACAACTTAAATAAAGGAAGGAAAAATGGATTACCAAGTTTATTGCCTCATCTAAAGACCGTTTTGTTTAAACTAGTAACATTTTTTTAAACGAGAATCTAACTCATGGTTTTCAAAGGATCCTTTCATTTCCTGATTCTTCTATTAAATTTGTATATTCCATATGCATTCTCTGTAAAATGCATAATTAGAACAGACATGTCAAACTGCCAGCCCACAGGCCAGATGCATCACGCTGAAACCGTGCCCACCCCATTGCTGGCAATGGGGAAAAAATCCTGATATGTCATGCGATGTCACATGACGTCGCAAGTTTGACATGCCTGCATTAGAATCTCCTTGCTATTTTCACACTCTAACATGCTCTGTTTCCTTCATGGATATCTGCTCCATATTTGCAGGTTCCTTTTATTCTGCTACTGTCATTACTATATACCATATTTTCCGGCATATAAGACGACTTTCTAAACCCTTCTTCTCAAAAGTCCGGGGTCGTCTTATACGGTGGGTAGCTGTTCTCTGAATTTAAAACCAATCTGCCCCCTAGTGGCCAGCCCTATTTTTTTTACAGAAATAAGCACTAACACAGTATTTCTCAACCTTGACAATTTTAAGGCATGTGGACTTCAACTACCAGAATTCCACAGCCAGCAGAACAAAGCATTCAAAAATCCCATTTTTCTACATTGCCCATCACTTTTTTTTTTCAGGAAAAGCAATTAAATAGTAGAAAACAGTAAGCTATATAAATTAAGGACATTACATCTACAAAAAAAAAAGAAACATTTGATTTACTTCTTATACCTAGAGCAGCAGTCATGAATATATGGAAAAAATTTTTGATTCAGCAAATCAATTGATTAAGAAAAATACTGGTCAAAGTGAAAATTAAGAAAATAGATGATGGGATCTACCAGAGAGAATATTTAAAAAAGAAACATTTGTTTGAATATGGTTAAAGAAACAGAAAAGATTCTGAATACATATGTCATTCTAAGAGAGATGAATTCCTTAAATAATACTGTATGCTTTTCCCCCCTTTTATTTTATTTTTTGATATAAGTAATATAATACTGCTGAAATGGCCTAGATGAAGTAAATGTTTTAGATAATTAAATGTGTCTGAATTTAGGGAAATTATAATGTATAAAAAAGAAAAAAATGTTTTGAATAAGACCTAAAGGATTAGCTGACTAGGCACATTAAATGGAATATTTAAAGATTAAATATATTTTATCAAAATAATAAGAACTATATTATTTCAAGGTTTGCAAAGAAGACATTTTGGGGAAAAGGGGAAATCAACTAAATGTACTATGTGGATTATAGATTATAGAAACCAATTGTTAATGATTTTTCTTTACAAATGTAAACCCAGCAAACACACAGTTTACCAACTATTAAGTGATTTATGTTTTAAAAAATCAATAAAATATATGGGGAAAAAAATACCAGCTGAGTTCAGGAAGCATTAGGGAAGCAGTGGTGGGCAACACTCGCTTTCTAGCAGCAAAGGAATGGAGCTCCTATTGTGCTCATCTATAAACAGAAATTCAATATTGTACCATATTTTCCGGCGTATAAGACGACTTTCTAAACCCTGAAAATCTTCTCAAAAGTTGGGGGTCGTCTTATATGCCCAGTCGTCTTATACGCCGGAATATACGGTAAATCTTATTAATGCTGCATTCAACATTTCTCTCCTTTCCTTCTTTTAAACACACAAGACTGGCCTCTTCAACTAAATTAAGATAGGTAGAAATGCTACTTATAATATACAGTACCATTCAGTAAAATCTACTAGGATGTTGACAGCTGTACCAAAAGCTTGAAAAAAAAAAAGAGAGGTCAGGAAAATAGACTGGCAAACGAAGAAGCAGCTTTAAATGATAAGAGAGCCAGTTTGATCTACTCATTATAGCACCCGGCTAGAAAACAGGAGACTGTGAGTTCTAGTCCCATCTTAGCCATGAAAGCTGGCTTGGGCTGGTCACTGTCTCTCTCCTTCCTCCTCCTATTTTGGGAAAATAAGAAGAGGAAGGAGTATTTAGATATGTTTGCTGCCTTGAGTTATTTATAAAAACAATAAAGGAATAATAAAGGAATCAATCAATCCTGATCCATGATTACCAAACTCCAGCTGCTGAAGGTCGTGGTCAATGCTGGGAGTCCCCCATTCTGTCATGTTGTATTTCTTAGTACTGATTGGAGCCAGGAAGGAGGGTAGAAAGGAGTCACATGGTGGCAATAATTCCTTGCACATGTCTGGGTGAATTAACTGCTTTCTCTCAGTCAGATCCTGACATGGGAGCAAAAGTCTAGGGCTTCTAGACAACACTTTTTGGCTATCCGGGAGTTCAGGTATGGATAACAGTAGTTCTGGGAGAATAGCTTTTTGTGTCAACTGCAGGCATCTGGGTTCTCTGTATTCACTGTTCCAGGAACTCTTCACTCCTCCCACTACAAACCAAAAACACAAATGGAAAAATCTATAGTACAAACACCTCAGGAGAACTGGGACTCCTGCTCAACCACCAGTACGTATTTAACACAAGATAAGATAATTCCAAAGTTTCAGATGATATATCTAGATCTTCTTAGTTATTCTAAGTTTCCTGTAGCAATCCATTACAAAGAGGGAAAATATAAATACATTCTATAGTAAATATATTCTATAAATATATTCATAAAATGATGACTACTCTGGCATAGTTTTACTTTCTATGACAGAATGTTTTATTATATTTTCAAATAAACAAAACCAGAAGGCAATAAATACTAAATTACTTTTGTCTTATTGTCAAAAGGCATAGCACACCCAGATGGAAATCAGGAGTGAGTTTAACTATTCCTTTCAGTCTTGTATCACTAAGCTCAGGAAGACTCCTGGAGCTTACAATAATAAAAGCATACTGCTTTCTAAAATATCACCAAAGCTGTTGCCTACAAGAACAACTGGGAAGGCTGTCCCACAAAGTGCAGACCACTATCATGAGCTAAACCATTCAGTGCTTTTATAAGGTCAAATGCAAATGTCTTTGATTTGTAACTGGAAGCCTGCTGATAACCAGTCCTATGTTCACAGTACAGGAATTACTCAACCATGATGGTTCTTATTTGTCAGCTTGAAGGAAACGTTATCTTGAACTGCTTTATTAGCCAGCCATATATAAGGACTACTTATTATATATAAGGACTGCTTTGAACTTTATCTAGCTCAACCAGGTGCTGATTGTTAGTTGAGAAGATTCCTGTGCATAGTCTTTTAGCAATAAATCAGTTAAATTGAACCTTCACATGTGAACCTGATTTTCATGCATGACACTAGCGAAGGTGACCAAATTCACTTACAGAGAATGCTTGCTCTGGGACATGCTGTGTACTTTTACTTCCTTTCAATTTACAGTACACAAGTTATTAACTAAAACCTGACTTCCATGTTTTCTCTTGCACAACTCAATGTGAAAATGATTCATGAAAGCGACATGAACAGAAATGTCAGGAACAAATAAAAGAGCAAGACTTTGTTAGGGGACTGTGGGGACAAATGCAAGAAAGGAAGAAATCGCCAGTCCAGTGTGCATGTTCAGACAGACAAAGAAATCTCACCTTGCTTAAGTGCTGTGCAGGTTTTCTCCCTTAGCTGTGCTGCAGAAGCCCGTTTTATAGGGTCTTTCTCAAGGCCAGAGGTAATGACCTGAACAGTGTATGGGTGACAGGAGGGGGGGATTTCTCTTAGAGGGGGTGGTTCTTTGGCTATCTGCAATGCAAAGACATAGGAAAATGGATACTGATCAAAAGCAATCAGAAAACTGCAGGCCTACAAGTAGCAATTATTTAACAGACAATGACAACTACTACTGTAATATATGAAATAGAAATCGATTTCTCACTTTTTTGAAAACAAAGAATAGATAATACTGTTTGACAGACAATTGCAATACAGGCCAAAACTCTCAATATTTTGGTACAAAAAATATTAATGTGCACAGAAATTATACCAAGCACACACTGTAGACAGACAAGTTGCCTTAAAGTCAATATTCAAAAAGGACAAAATAGTGAAAGACTTGCAAATAAGGCCAGTGCCATCCAAAGATAATTTGATGTCTGAGATGGACATAAATTTTGTTTCCTCATGGGACAACATTTGCCCAGCTCTTAACTCCTAGCCTACTATATTTCATCAGACTGAAGATAAAAATTAGAATCCTTTTAGCCCCCGAAGAAAAGATGGAATAATTATATTCTTTGAAAAACTGAAAGATTTTACACTATATTATCAAATGTTGAAATAATGTTCTTTTGCATTTAGAACAGCCAACTGTGACCTAAATAGTATTCTATACCCCAGAATTTATATAAGTAATAGAGACAACCTGCGTCTAGCATCCACACCAAACTTCTCAAATAGAGATCCTTGCATAGGAGCTGATTCCTGAAACTATTCTATACTAAAGATTCAAAGAAAATTCTCTTGATTTGCATTTTCCTCATCATAGCCCTTCAGCTTCTGAACAATCATTTCTATATGCACTGAATATTGTGTTATGTTCCAGAACTTAATGAGCTTACTTCATGTTTGTGCTTTACCTTTCATTATATGGAAACTTATCACTGTTTTCATTAAAATTCAACTTCAGGTAAATGAGAATAGAATTGCAGTCTAAATGTCATCACCCATCCTTTCTTGCAAGTTCTGTGTAGACCTAAGTTGGCACATACTCATTTTCTAACAAATATCTTATTTACTTAAGAGAAAAATGACCCTAAATTTAAAATATTTCCCTCAGAATAAGGTACCCCATTTGCATATATCATTTTCTCTCACAACTTCCTCACAAAGAGCTATACACAAAAATGTAAAATTAAATATAAGAATGAAAGGAAAACTAGAAAACAAGAAAAGAAGCAGATGGAGATGAGAGAAGGGAAGAGGTAACTAGATAGAAATAGAAAGAAAGGGGGAAAAAGTCCTATTTAAAAATCACAAGAAGCATTAAATTGAGATATTGAGAGGTGTGAAGTTGGATAGGATTTCTTATAATCAATTGCTTAAAACTGGAAGGGAAGGATTGGCAATTAAAATCGTTAGATGAATTAAGGCAGGAAAATATTGTTTACTCTTGGTTTCAGTATAGGCAATTGTTAGATAGGTGGAGTTTAGACCAAAAGGTTGGTATTACTTTAGAGGATGAGAACTTGATAAAACAGATTAAAGATCAAAGTCGAGCTCATATAAAGAGAGTTTATAATGTATTAATGGAATTGGATTCACAGACGGAATTAGTTAAAGATTGTATGATAAAATGGACCCAAAATTTTCAAGAGCCGGTTTTATTAGATACATGGGAGGCAATTTGGGCTGGGAATGTGAAGTTTACTCACGCTCAAAATTTAAGAGAAAATTTTTATAAAATGGTTTATAGGTGGCATTTGGATCCCCAAAAATTGTCTCGCATGTATCCCAATTTACAGCCTGTTGGAGATGTGGTTGCTTGGATGCAACCTATTATCATATTTGGTGGATGTATAGAAACATAAAAGCTTTTTGGATTAAGATTTGGTGGAACATTCGAAAGATTTTCAAGAGAAAGATAAAGTTTTCACCACAATTATTTTTGTTAGGTATTATTGTAGATTGTGATGCTAAAGAAACTATTTTAATGTTGAATCTTATTACGGCTGCAAGGTTACTGGTTGGACAATATTGGAGGAAAGATTCTTTGCCCATTATAGAAGAATGGTCGCTTAAAGTTTCTAATTTAGCAGAAATGGCCAAAATTTCTGCTTCTTTGAAGGATCATTCACAAGAAAGATACATCTCGGTGTGGAGAAGATGGATAAATTATGTACAGAATAAATATGGGATTAGAAAGTATCATTTAATTTTTGAATAACTTATAGTTTAAAGTGGGAATTGTTTATATTGTTATTTTTGTTTTTCTTTAAAAAAAAGTTGTATTTGAGTTAAAGTATTTTATGATTTTAGTTATTGGTATAGTTGGATAAGCTTAGTTAGAATTTGTTTGCTTATTTGTAACCCTGTAATCAGCTCTGGGAAGTGAGGGGGGGTTAGGGTTAGGGTGGGGCGGGAGGGAGGGAGGGATATTTTATTGTAATAATTTGTATAAAATTTTTCAATAAAAAAAGCATTAAAATTTCCTCCAAACAACTTCTCTACAGAATAATATCAAAAATATTCAATATTCATTCAATTTATATAACATTTTAATCCTTTTCATTCCAACAGTTGTTTCTACTCACATGTAATTATTGAGAGTAAAAATAAGTCATGAAATAAATCAGAAAATCCAAAACATCAATAAAACAGTTAGCAATTAAACTCCCATGCTGCAAAACCAAGTAACTAACATAGCATGACAATGTGTCACTCGGCATAGCTGGTACAACTCACGAATAATCTGCAATGCCCCAACCACCTATTCTCAAACATAATATACTCATAGGTGAAACAATTTTGAAATCTTTACAAATTATTGAAGATATTTTTTTGGAACTGGATAAGCTGTAGCCACAATCACATTACAATTCTATATTTCTTAATTGCTTTATATCAGTGAATCCTTCTGGAATATCATTCCTCCAAAATTATAGACGAAAATAATTTTAGAATGAATCAAAAACCCCTTTTTATAGACTGTTGTTCATTTTGAACTTATCATTATGATAAGGACCATACCATTTAACAAATATTGCTGAGTTTTTGGCTAAAAGGTGTGAGCAAATGGCTTTTGTTACCAAACAATTAGACAGAGACTGTGTTTTTGGTGTAAACCACAAGTTCTGGAGATCTGAAAAATTGAAGTAATCCTGAGATGGGACCTATAACTTCTTGAAATCAATAGTTAATATAAAATAAATTATACATTTATAATTTGTATAAATTATACAATTATAAATTGTGTTGAATGGTAAACTTTATGGATTTCAAGATACCCAACAAAAATATGTATTTACTAACAAGATACGTTTCTTAGATTGGTTGAGAATATTAAGCACTTCATGCCACAATTATTTGTTTTGTCTTTCAGATAAATGAAGCAACATATTACCCATTTACTAATGTGTGACTTACTTTGAGGCACAGAGGATGATTATAATACTTGATCCAAGGATGATACCCATTCAGTAGATGCAGCAACATACAGCAACTGCTCCAGATATCTATCTTGAAATCACAGTGCTTCCCCATTACGATTTCAGGAGCCAAGTGCGTCTCAGTGCCTGGGACATAATCTCCTTAAATAAGAATAGAGGAAATTGATTCTTTAGGGTCCTGCTCGGCCCTGTTGCACACAAGTAGCCATGCGGAGACATTCTTAAATTAATAAAGGGTAGCCCAAGAGCCCTTCACTGTAGAAGACCAGACACAAAAATATCAAAGCAAATTTATATTGGAGTATTACAATAAAGAGGCAATGCAAGGATACAGAAAACTTTGAGTTCAGATTCATATACCGGTAGGAAACTCTCTGGAGAGAAATATCGCTTGGGAAATAGGAGTACCCAAAATGTTTTGAATTCACAAAGTTTCAAGTCTGAAAGAAGTATTTTAAAGTCAAACAATCAGCAACTTCATTCTCAAAACATTTCTGGAACAGTTGGAAAAGCCTGTTCCAAACTTGAAATAAGAGTATTTGTAACTTGAACAGCTTTATACTCCAAATCTGTTACAAACTTCTCTTGCAAAAATTATACTGTAATCTCTAAAACTATCCTGCAATGTGATTGCAATGTATAATAGCTTCAAACAAAGAAAGAGCAAAAAATGGTGATAAGTGCAGGATATATATTATATTCATGCATTAACTTATAAATGAATAGTTTTCAACTCCCTTCACCAGAAAAACATAGTTACTTTAATAACTGATTTTTCGAAAAAACAAACAAACAAACAAAAAAACCACAACATTCTCAGTGAGCCTTTTTTTCCTAGTATTTTCCTGCAAGTGCAGGGTCTGCTTATTTTGAATCAACAGAGTGTTGATCCTTTGGTTGCAACAGGAACTGACTAACTGGCTTGTTGTCCAAGCCTGACATTAGGGGCTCAGAGTGACTGGGCTAAAATCACGCAACTGGCTTTTATGTCTAAGCTGAGTCCCTCCCAGGCTCCTGGTTTCTAGCTTAGTGTCTTAAACAGTAGACCATTGTATTGTTAAATATATCAAACGGCTAATACTTTCTGCAATTCATCTACTAAAAAAAGCATACAGATAATCCTTGACATAATGGAGTCTGCCATTACAGTGGAAGGTTGGGAGGGCGTTAAATGAACCGCCTCACTTAACAAGTCCCCATCCCTGCTCTCACCAACACATTTATTTGTTAAATGTAAGTTGTTAAGTGGAGTATGGGGTACCTCAGTGGTGGGGAAAGATCCTAAAGGCCTAGTGCAGGCACAAGCCCACCTGCCTCCAGCCTCTTAAGGCGTGTGCGCGCGTACACACACACACACATTAAAAATAAAAGTAAAAATATGACTTGGGAATATCCATACTATTAAAACAATGATCACCAAGAGAATGCTTTAAGAGAATAAAATTACATACACACAGAGGTAAAAAAAGGATATATGCAGTGTTATCTTCATTTTAGATGTCAAAAGGGTCTCTCTCTGTCTCTCTCCCTCTCTATCTGCCCTTGGTCTGCCACTCCCCCCACTCTTTCTTTCTCTCTCTCTTCCCCCCCCTCTCTCTCCCCCTCCCCCCTCTCTCTTTCTCTCTCTCTCTTTCTCCCCCCCCCTCCTATCTGCTGCTCACCTGGCAAGCTTCAAGCTGTTGTCCAACAAGCTCAGGGGTAAGCAACCTCGTCTCTTTTATGACTCATGGACTTCAACTCCCAGAATTCCTGAGTCAGCCTAGCTGGGCTAGCTAGCTTTCTCCTGCCCTTCCTGCTTCCTGCTTCCTGCAGAGACGCAGCAAAGGGAGGAGCTCTGCCCAGTAAGCTTTTCAGCTCCTCGGAGAACACTGTGAGTGCACTCTGTTTTACACACACACACGCACACAAACACACACACACAGAGAGAGAGAGAGAGAGAGAGAGAGAGAGAGAGAGAGAGAGAGAGAGAGAGAGAGAGAAGCAGGAAAGTGTAATTACCTTTCTCTGTCTCTGTCTCTCTCTGCAAAGGCAGAGGAAGCTGGGAGCCACAGGGGAAGGCTTAAAGAGCCGCATGCGGCTCCGGAGCCGCAGGTTGCCGACCTGTGTCCTAGGAAATATTGCCTAGGATTTTTGACATAATTTATATTTTATTCTCCATTTTCAGGAATTTTTCTTTTTCTTTTTGGTAAAGTACCCGCAGCGGTTCAATTTGCATAATATATAAAATTGTCGGGTACAGATTATGGGCAGAAGTTAGTTTGTATATGTTACCAAAAAACTTTTTAAAAATAGATAATGCCCTAAAAATTATGCCTAAAATATTGAGGCAGGGATAAAGATATATCTTCATGCCTGATGCTGGAAAATAGTGAGACAGACACCTCTAAATTATTTATTTTCAGGGATGAGTCCAATATTTAGAACATAAAGGAAAGAGCAGTCCAATGCTCGTATATCAATAGCCTCTTAAGAACCTGCCATAAGTTACCTGTCATTAAATATTTCCTTATGCCATCTGGTTGAAGTTGAGCTGCATGACCAAAATCACAGAGAACAGCATGGCTTCTGTCACCAGATAAAAGGACATTGTCAGCTGCCAAAAGAAAAATTGCAAGGTTTTCAGGCCATCAGTATCTATATATAATATTGTAACAAGAGCACCTAGTTTTTCTCCTTAGGTGCTCACCTGACATTTTGACTTTATTACTGGGGACCAGAAGTGCAGATTTACTTGATTAAATGTTCCTCCATAGAAATTCTAATACAAGAGAAATTAACCTCTCAGGCAGAAGCCTAAAGAGGAGTCCCTTTCCCTCATACTTAGCTTTTTATGTGAAAGGAGGGGGCTGCCAGAACATTCATATAATCTTTTTTTTAATAGATATTTTATTGGTTTTTAACTATAACAATTTCCAGTGCCTGGTGTACAGCGTGTTGTCTTGGTTTATATTTTAACAAGAAAAAAAAGGACAGTAATAATTAATTAACAGCCAGTAATGATTAAATTTGATAATTCCATAATTAATATATTAACTAATAATACATTTCTTTGGTCTTCCCTTCTCCCATTTGTATTTTCCTTCTTCAACCTTAGCCAAAATATAATTCTTAATATTTTCAATATATAATTGATTAGGTATAGGCATTTTTCATATTTATACAAATAATAATAATCTCTCTATATAGCATTTTTTTCAGCATATATTATTCTCATAACCATCATCTCATTAGTTCAGCATATATCCTATTTTTATAATTTTTGTTCGCTTAGATTCCCTTATATTCAATCAAATTCTTATCAGTCATAATTTCTTCGTATTAGTCCTCTCACTGTCTAAATTTTCCCATTTAGGTAGATCATCCCAATATTTTATGCCATGCATTATAAAAAATACTATACTTTTTATCTGTCTTATAGTATCTAAATATAACATCCTTTTTAATCAGTTTATATTTTACTTATATATTAATAAAAGTTACATCAACCTACTATTTTAACATTTAATATATTATAAAACATACTATATTACTTAAATCTCATTATCCTTCTTGTTATAAGGCCCCTTTATATTCGAACTTCTCTGTTCTTTTAGCCATATTCAAACAATGTTTATTCACGTAATAGTCCATCTGGTAGGGCGAGTCAAATCTCTTGTATCTGATCTTCTTCTTTTGCCAAGTAATTTTCCAAGTTGATGTAATCCGCTTACCCAACAGTTCCTATATTTTTACAAATGTTGTTAGGAATACAAAAGATGAAGTAAGTAAGATAAATTCTTTCTGTCCCCCAAATTTTAATAGTTCTCTAATAATTCCATTTTTCTTGTTGTAACAGAACCTTGAAGATTTTTTCCTGTTTGGGTCAAATTGTAATTATTTTCCTTTGTTATTTCATCAATTTGATCATACACTTCTAGTTTGTAATCTGCTGTCTGATTTGTTTGTTCCTCTGTTGTTATTTCCTGGGTATTTTTTAATTGTAGATTTAGATTGGAAATATGCTTATTTAAATCCTCAAAGTTATTTCGAATTTGATCATGGTTTGAATCTACTGTCATTTGTATTTGTCCCAGCATTACATATATTTCCTCCGGGAAAGTATTTATCTTGCTTTGAAGTATTGCTTCTGGAGGCCCTTGATATTCCAGGCTAAGTCCTTCAGGAAAAAATATTGAATGTGGTATCCTGTCATTTTTTGATACGTATATGATATCCATGTTGTCTCCCCCCTTCAAATAATCTTTCATCAATGTTTTAATTCAAAAGTCAATTTATCAGTCAATCAAAATTACAGATTCAGTATATTAAGCCACTTTAAATCTGCAAATTCTCCTCTAAAAGATTAGCCAAAAAGCCAAAGTTTTTTTTTCCCATAAACAGTTTTTAGGTTTAAGCAACAGTCCAGGTGTTATTTTTTCTTTCAAACACTTTTTAATCTTATAGGTGGCTCTTCCTTTGTTCCCAGCTGTCTTCAAAGTTATTTGCAATTCAAAGGAACAACTTTTTCTTTGTTTCTGGGCATTCTGCCAATTTCTGAATCCTTATTGTTAGTGTTCTATTCTTTGATTCTCTACTAGGTATCAGCAGTTATTTCTTTTTTTCAGTTTTTCTTTCTATCAAAAAGTTATTTTTGTTATATATTTTATAATTCTATCAGAAACTTTTTGGGGTATAATCTTGACAGTTTTTTAGTTCCTAGATTAAATTTTAGTATGTCTTTTTCAACCTTTTATGTTAATTCGCCGCTTCCATCTGTAAGGGAATGGGGATATAATCCCTTCCCTTCACTTCTGGAGGTTTTCTTGCTTTGGGGATCTTTTCAAGGATTTAAATAGTACATAGAAGAAAGAAGATCAGTACTCTCACCAATTTCAAGCATGCTGTTCACCGATGTTTAAGTTCGTGCTCTGGGACTAGACGCTGATCTCACGCTACCTTTTCTCCTGTCAGGTTCAGAGGGCTTTCCCCGGATCAAACAAAGCGATTGCCGTCACTTCGTGATCGACGGGGCACTCCTCCTTCACAGTCACCTCTCTCGGGCAACTTCGGACCCATCTAGGGTTCCCCAAGCAGGAACAAAATAGCTGTGGGGAGCAGAGGTCTGCTCTTGTGTGGCCATGCGCTGCAGATGCAAAAAATGGAAGTCCCACACACAATCTTCTATTGAAAACTGAAGATAAAGACAAGTTGACTAATTCAATGGGAAGTACGTCAAGATATACCATCCCCACCAGCACATCATCTCATATTTTCTGCAACTGCAGCCATTTTGAGCAAATAGTCTGCTACTTGGGTTTGCTGTTTAATAACAATCTTACCTTTTACATCTCCATGGAGAACATTGTGGGCATGAAGGTGTTCCAAGGCCTCCAGGATTTGGCTGAGATAATCAAGAGCTCTGTCCTCAGGTAGGTATCCACACTGCTTAACTAGCTGGCCCAATGACCCACCTAGAAGGAAAAATTCCCATCTCTCACCAAGAAGTACATTAGCTGCTTCAGTCTACAGAAAAAATATCAAGCGGCATCATAGTCAAGAAATCTGCAATCATGGATCCTATAGTTAAAGGACAACAATGTACAGAGAAGATATGGTACCTACACTTTGGTAGGTCCAGGGCCATATGCGGCCCATGAACTGCAAAGTTGGACACATTAGCTTTAGAGCTTCTTGATATGTAATCTAACACATATTTTTACAGTGGCTAAACAGATGGCTATGGAGAAGCAAGAAAAACTATAAAAGCAAGAAATAAATATTCAGGACTTTTTTCTCCTTCTGTTCAATCATATCTGATTCTTGGAGACTACCTGAACAAGCCCCTGCATTTTTCTTCGCAAGGATTTTCAGAAGTGGTTTGCCATTAACCTCCTCCTAGGGCTGGGAGAAAGCAATTAGCCAAGGTCCGCTAGCTGGCTTTGTACCAAAGGAAGAACTCCCACTGTGATTTCAACCACGGGATCAACAGGCTCTCACAAATATTCAATTATCCTCTAATAAAAATAGAAAATACTTATCACAAATTAAAAGAGAAATTAACAGAAAAGTCGGGAAACAGTTGTGACCCTTGGCTTTTAGGAAATAAAATGAAATAGAGCACAAATTGACAGCTAGAGAAAAATAGGCAATGTTTAAGGTCAGAAAGCCCCTTTATGGATTACTGCCTTGTCGTGGCGAAGGGGCTTGCGTAACTCAATGAAGCTATAAGCTATGCCGTGCAGGGCCACCCAAGACGGACAGGTTATAGCAGAGAGTTCTGACAAAATGTGATCCACTGGAGAAGGAAATGGCAAACCACTCCAGTATCTTTGCCATGAAAACCCCATGGACAGTACTAAAAGGAAAAAAGATATGACGCTGGAAGATGAGCCCCTCAGGTCGGAAGGTGTCCAATATGCTACTGGGGAAGAGCAGAGGGCTAGTACTAGTAGCGCCAGAAAGAATGAAGCGACTGGGCCAAAGCCGAAAGGACGCTCAGCTGTGGATATATCTGGTGGTGAAAGGAAAGTCCGATGCTGTAAAGATTTTTTCTCCATAGGAACCTGGAATGTAAGATCCATGAATCAAGGCAAGCTAGACGTAGTCAAAAAAGAGATGACAAGACTGAACATCGACATCTTAGGAATCAGCGAACTAAAATGGACAGGAATGGGTGAATTTAACTCAGATGACCATCAGGTATACTACTGTGGGCAAGAATCCCTCAGAAGAAATGGAGTAGCCTTCATAGTCAATAAAAGAATAGGAAAAGCAATACTGGGATACAATCCCCAAAATGACAGAATGATCTCAATTCGAATCCAAGGCAAACCATTCAATATCACAGTAGTCCAAATCTATGCCCCAACCACTGGTGCTGAAGAGGATGAAATTGACCGTTTCTATGAAGCCCTACAGCACCTTATAGAATTAACACCAAAAAATGATGTCCTTATCATCATGGGGGATTGGAATGCTAAGGTAGGAAGCCAAAAGATAACCGGAATAACAGGCAAGTTTGGCCTTGGAGTACAAAATGAAGCAGGGCACAGGCTAATAGAATTTTGTCAAGAGAATACGATGGTCATAACAAACACTCTTTTCCAACAACCCAAGAGACGGCTCTACACATGGACATCACCAGACGGTCAACATAGAAATCAGATTGACTATGTGCTCTGCAGCCAAAGATGGAGAAGCTCTATACAGTCAGTAAAAACAAGACCAGGAGCTGACTGTGGCTCAGATCATGAGCTTCTCGTTGCAAAATTTAGGCTTAAATTGAAAAAAGTAGGGAAAAGCACTAGGCCACTCAGGTATGAACTAAATCATATTCCTGATGAATATACAGTAGAGGTGACAAATAGATTTAAGGAATTAGATCTGATAGACAGAGTGCCTGAAGAACTATGGATGGAAGTTCGCAACATTGTACAAGAGGTAGCAACTAAAACCATCCCAAAGAAAAAGAAATGCAAGAAAGCAAAATGGCTGTCTGAGGAAGCTTTGCAAATAGCTGAGGAAAGAAGGGAAGCGAAAGGCAAAGGAGAAAGAGAAAGATACACCCAATTGAATGCAGAATTCCAGAGAATAGCTAGAAGAGATAAGAATGCCTTCTTAAATGAACAGTGCAAAGAAATAGAAGAAAACAACAGAATAGGGAGGACCAGAGATCTCTTCAAGAAAATTGGAGATATGAAGGGAACGTTTCATGCAAAGATGGGCATGATAAAGGACCAAAATGGCAGAGACCTAACAGAGGCAGACGAGATTAAGAAGAGATGGCAAAACTACACAGAAGAACTATACAAGAATGAGCTTAACATCCCAGATAACCACAATGAGATGGTCACTGACCTCGAACCAGACATCCTAGAATGTGAAGTGAAATGGGCCTTAGAAAATCTGAGCAACAACAAAGCTAGTGGAGGTGACAGTATTCCAGCTGAGCTATTCAAAATCTTAAAAGACGATGCAGTAAAAGTGCTACACTCAATTTGCCAGCAAATTTGGAAAACTCAACAGTGGCCACAGGATTGGAAAAGGTCAGTTTACATTCCAATTCCAAAGAAAGGCAAGCCAAAGAATGTTCAAACTATCGCATCATTGCACTCATTTCACATGCTAGTAAAGTTATGCTTAAAATCCTACAAGCTAGATTCCAGCAGTATGTGGATCAGAACTACCAGAAGTACAGGCAGGATTTCGAAGAGGCAGAGGAACTAGAGATCAAATTGCCAACATACGCTGGATCATGGAAAAAGCTAGGGAGTTCCAGGAAAACATCTACTTCTGCTTCATTGACAATGCAAAAGCCTTTGATTGTGTGGATCACAGCAAATTGTGGCAAGTTCTTAAAAAGATGGGAGTACCAGACCATCTCATTTGTCTCTTGAGAAACCTATATGCGGGTCAAGAAGCAACAGTGAAAACCGAATACGGAACCACTGATTGGTTCAAAATTGGAAAAGGAGTCCGGCAAGGCTGTATACTGTCGCCCTGCCTATTTAACTTATATGCAGAGCACATCATGAGAAAGGCAGGGCTAGATGAATCAAAAGTTGGAATTAAGATTGCCGGGAGAAATATCAACAACCTAAGATATGCAGATGATACCACTCTAATGGCAGAAAGTGAAGAGAACTAAAGAGCCTCTTGATGCGGGTGAAGAAGGAGAGTGTAAAAGTAGGCTTGAAACTCAACATTAAGAAAACCAAAATCATGGCATCCGGCCCTCTCAATTCCTGGCAAATAGATGGGGAAGAAATGAAGGTAGTGACAGATTTTATTTTTCTGGGCTCAAAAATCACCTCAGATGGGGACTGCAGCCAAGAAATTAAAAGACGCTTGCTCCTGGGGAGGAAAGCTATGGCAAATCTAGAAAGCATTCTAAAAAGCAGAGACATCACCCTGCCAACAAAAGTGCGTATAGTCCAGGCCATGGTTTTCCCAGTTGCAATGTATGGCTGTGAAAGTTGGACCATAAGAAAGGCTGAGCGCAAAGAATTGAGGCCTTTGAACTATGGTGCTGGAGAAGACTCCTGCGAGTCCCTTGGACTGCAAGGCCTTCAAACCGGTCAGTCCTAGAAGAGATCAACCCCGACTGCTCTTTAGAAGGCCAGATCCTGAAGTTGAAACTCAAGTACTTTGGCCACCTAATGAGAAGGAAGGACTCACTGGAGAAGGGCCTAATGCTAGGAAAGATTGAGGGCAATAGAAGAAGGGGACAACAGAGAATGAGATGGCTGGATGGAGTCACTGAAGCAGTAGGTGTGAATTTAAATGGACTCCAAAAGATAGTAGAGGACAGGAAGACCTGGAGGAACGTTTTCCATGGGGTCGCGATGGGTCGGACACGACTTCGCAATTAACAACAACAACAAAAGGTCAGAAAAGATATTCTGCTCCTCTGCTTAAAATTTTATAGCATTCTATATTCATAAATCATTAAAACCAAGATGTTGAAATTTCATTATATTTTAATGTGATGAATAAGTAAGGCTCAAATAATATTTAAAAAACAAAAAAGGAAACAAGTCTAACATTAAAGGAGGGTGGTGGCAGTCAGAAATAGAATAGAAATAGGCTTTGAAGAAAAATATTTCATCAAGTTTTAGTTCCATATCCCACAATGATTGCTTAAATGTTGCAGAAGCAATTCCAAAAGAACTTAAATTGACTAAATTAAAATTCTGCTTCACATCTAGTCAATTTATTTTCAGATCAGGTTTTTGCCTCTGGAATAGTCTGCAATTCCTATTGCTCATGATTAGTAATATTGCTAGTATCTTTTCTCTGCTCTTGATCACTTACCTTCCATCAGTTTCATGAAGATAGTAACCCACTGGCCTTCTTTCACTGCTCCATATAGTGGGAGGACTTTGGCATGTGTCACTTCAGCACATGTTGACAACTCTTCTGCACGAAAGTGTTCAATTTGTACCTAGAAAGAGAAGTATGAGGTAAAAAAGTTTGAACAATATTGGCCTTAAATAGAAAAATAATGGCTTTCACTACAATTAGAATAAACCAAAACTAGCTAGTCCAGTATCTTGTTTCTTCAATGAATTAAGCTGAACGAGGAAAAAAACTCAGAGCAAGAGAAGTTCAGGGCACATCTGAGAAAGCAGAAGATGAGCAAGTTGGGGTATTTGGATTTCTTATCCATAAGGAAGTTGAGAGGCAAACAGACCACTTGGTGCCTATACCTACTTGACCTTTATTACAAAGGATCATGATTCTCACCTCCTTAAGTGAAGAACAGATGAGAATGAGAGGCAGAAAAAATTGAAATGGAAGAGACAGATCCTAACAAAATTTTATTAAAAAAATGACGGTAACAAATGAATAGGATCGATAAAAGAGAAGCTGGCAGAAAAAGAAGCAAAACCAAATTAACAATGAATTAAAAAACAAGAAGAATAAACAATGAGCCAAGAAAACATTCAGGCTCATGATAATTCTAAAGTAACTAAGAAAAAAGAGCTGTGATCTATTGACAGAAAAAAAATGGGAAGTTGAGGAAGAAACTGGGACAAGGTACATTGATTTTCACAAACTCACTGAGATTCCTGAGCCCCCCAGTGGGAAAAATTAATTATTGAAACAGGAGCTTGGTTCATACACACTGTTAAAGCAAATTTGTTTTTACTATCATTTAGTGTGACAATCATGGTTTGTCTATCAAATTTCTCACTTAATTTCCCTCTATCTCTTCTTCCAGAATCTGAATATCTCAATTTTTTTTAGCAGTAATAAAGAGCTGACACCGTTTCCTCATGTTATCAGATAATTTTCCATAAATTGTTTGAACAAACAAGAAATAAAAATCCTCTCTGTGATCTCCCACAATTGTTAACACAAACTAAACAAGCTTACTTCTCTTCCTAGGCTAACCCTGTGCCGATTATTTTTTTCCTTCCACTCAGTTGTACAGAAAAGCAGTGTATTTAGAAGTTACTGCTGCAATGCCAAACACTTCTCTCTGGGTATTCCCATCCTTCTGAACTAGTGGCAGTAACAATACTTTTATATTGCTAGCTGCGCTGCCTAAATGCTCTTCCCACCTGCCTATTCCCAGCGCTTGACAATTCTATTGAGAAAATCCCTAATCCAAATAAAAAGACAAAGAGACAACCAGCCCAGGTACTATATCAATTTTAGTATATATATATTGCTCAGTTCATATAACACATGACAATACCCTATTTCATTACATTTTATCAAAGAGACAGTAAGCAGCAATTAGATACAGCAAATCAATATAGTAGTAAAATGACCGAGGATAGTTGTCAGTTCCATACAGTATGCATTGTTTGTTCCAAGCTACTTTGTTGTCCTGATTTGCAGTAGAGAATGATGTGTCCACCATCAGTACTGAAGTTAAATTGATCGACATCCCCAGGAAAGGGAGCAATTTTACTCATCATCTTACGCAACAAGATATATTTTATTGGTCCCACTGAAGCTGCGTTTTCAACATGGAAGTTACCGAAAGCAACACCAACAAAAAACACAGAGATCCTGGCATAAGCAGAGGTCTTGATAAAGATATTGATATAAAAATATGACAAGTGCCAAAAAGAGTAAGAAGGAACAAAGGATGGGGAGAAAACAAGAGCAGTTTTTCATTTCTTTGACCTTACATCTCTGTGGCCTGCTGAACAAATAAAACAAACAAGCAAGAATAAACCAATATTATTGTTTGATATAGTGATATGTTCCCATTGAAAGAAGCTGGGATCTAAAAGCTAACATCACATTGTGCCTTCGGTTCAAAATTAGGCTAAACATATCCTAGTAGATTTTTGTACAAATGAGCTAAATATTCTTTTTCTAGCTTTTTTTTTCAACCCAAACATTAAAATACAGTCTGCCCATAGATACAGATAAGAGAAAAGCTAAAACAAGAGCTGATTATATAAAGACTGGTAAAACAAAACATCTATAAAAGAGGATAACTGCTAAAGAGAAGGAAAAGATTAGTCATTAGCTAGCTGCTGCTAATTATTGGATCAGAGAATGAAACAAAGAACAAAAATTCAGAGCGTAGAGGGAAAAAAAGAATTATAAATAACAGCTTCAAGACACATCAGAGAAGCTTCAGGCATCTGAGCTCCCCAACTTGTTAATTTAGCTCCCCCCTGGGGTCTTAAACATAATACCAGCATTAAACATAGGAGTGTGAAAGTGCATGACGCATTACAAGGAGGAAATCTAGACTGCTGCTGAAGATGCCACCAAAGCACACTATGTGTCTCAAAAAGGATTAGATACCTACAAATCAGCTCTAGCTAGTAGCTTAAAGCTACAACTTTAATAAAAGTTGAGACTTATGCTCTCCCACCATACTCTGTACTCAAATACAGAGATTGGTGATATTTTTAAGACTAATATTTTAATTACATGAGCTGCTGTGGCTGGAGCTCACTTCATTGGACGAGACTGACTACATCTATATTGTAAAGGAAAGAAGCAAGTCAAATTGCCAGGATTCAATGATTAGATTAAAGAAACTTCTATTATTATTAATATCTGACCCTGTTACAAATTGTACAAATGATTTCTGCCATGCAAGAAAGCAGCTAAGATCACCTCTGCAGGCGATTTTGGCTGCTGCACAAGAGTGATCCTTCCCTGGCAGCCTGTTACATTCACAGCCAGCCAGAGATTCCGCAGTTTGGTGTCACCATGGCAACGACCTCTGGCTTGACCTTGAGGATGTGACAAACAAGTTTCAGCAGAGCATCAGTGCTTCAACTGCTCCAGCCTTCAGCAGTTCCACTGAAAAGGGAAGCAACTTTCATTTCCTCTTTTTTGATGCTGCTTTCCCTCCCTTGAAGGCAACAGATTTGCATAATGTATCACTGTACCTTTTTGGCTGCGCACTGAAAGCCAGTCTGCTTGTCCTCCATTTTGTACACTTCTCCAAAAGTGCCTGTGCCAAGCAAACTTTGAGATTTGGTCCAGTGAACCTCTTCACGGTACTCATAATCGACTGCCTTGAGTTTCTGCAGATTAGCAACCAGGAAACAAAAGAGGAAAAGAGGCCTTGAAAAGAGGATGCCAAAATTATTGTCAAGAACAGGTGAAAAAACATTTTGGAGCTTGCCTTTTAAAGCCAAGTTATCCTGCCATTAGTTCACATGTTTACTGATTCTTCTCTATCCTTGAGTCTTAGAAATTTACTATGAACAGAATTCCTTTTGTTTCATTTTTTGGGAACTAACTACAACTCACATAATTATAGCTACTCTAGTTTAAACGCCCAGAATCTGCAGTGAGAAAGCTAGGTGGTTACGGTACCTAATGATTTCTCCTGCCTCTAAAAGAGAAGAATAGCTATCTTTTGCTTCAGATTAAGTTTACATAATCCTAGGAAACAGCACAATTTGGAGAAAGAATAAAGATGCATCACAAAATAAGATCCCTGGACAGGGAGTAAAAAAGTGATATGAATTCAGGAGTTACCCAGTTCTTTTAAAGGGCAAGAGAGGAGTGGATCTTCCATAGGAATAAATATTCTCTATATCCCTTCCATCCTTGACTTTGTGAGAAACATAGGATTTCTATGAGCAGATTCATGCAATAAAAATAATTTATAATAAATGCTTGTCTTACATAGAAACATTTTAATACTTCCAATTAACTGTTTCTACGAATAATTTACTTTCAAAAAATAAATACTCATATGAAATGTTCTTTAAACATCATGACCATCAAAAATATACCAAGTTATACCAGCATCATGTTCACAAAGTCTTAACAATATAGCGGAACAACAATCTTCCTCATAATATACACAATAGCAACTGGGATTTGAAAGTATTCTTACTGCCATGTTACTCACACTTTATGGTTTCATAGAGTTATAGTCATGAATTTATGTAATGCTTTTCAACATTACTGAAACTAATGATCATCTCCTTTTCTATTGGCAATAAATTTCATGAAAAAAAAATCACAAATGTTATGTCATCATATACCTCTTCCTACATGTCCAGAATCTAAACCAGTCTATCTACTCAAATTTCCAGCTTTATTATTGCTGAATAAAAGTGCTCTAGTTCTCACATAAATCTTTAAAACAGCACTTGTATTTCAATACAAAAACGAAATGAAGCCATTATGGCAGTGGTTCTCAACCTGTGGGTCGGGACCCCATTTGGGGTCGAAAGACCATTTCACGGGGGTCGCCAAACAAGGCTGTCCGCCATTTTTTTCCCCTTTTCTTTGGCCACGCCCCTGGCACCTGGTGATGTATAAGTGGTTGGGGGTCACCACAACATGGGGAACTATATTATGGGGTCGCGGCATTAGAAAGGTTGAGAACCACTGCATTATGGCATGTTGTGTGAATCACCAGTGACTGTGTCTGCTATGGATTGTTGAGTAAATCACAATAGGATGGATTTATATTTGCTAAGTGATAAACCAGTAGTTTATAAAAAAACTGCAACTTTGTTCACACATTATACTAAATCAAAACCAAAAAACCAAGTTGAACATAAAATGCAAACTCAGCAATTTCTTCTGCTATTGCTCAAATAAGTAGGATGGGAGGGATGGGATAAAATATTTCCATTTCAAAGGAGGGTCCTACTACCTTCCATATGAATTCTTTCACTAAAAGTAACTTAAAGTGCATTAAAATGAATTTTCACTCTAAGATCATAACAGTAATTCCTTTGTTAAACCAGCACAAGACATAAGAAATAGTGCCCATTGTTTTTAAAAGCTCATTTTCTTTAGAAAGCTAGCCTATTGGAGAGGAAAACTGCAGTCTCACCTTTTCTTTCTATGCCAGATTTTTAGTAGTTTTCCCACATGGAAAATATAGAAAGATATAACATCCCTGCTCCATGCGGATTCAAATATTTTAATTCAAATGTTCTCTGTTGTGTAATACTTTTAAAGGCATGTTTTCTCTTTGACCAAGCTATTTATAGGAATATGGTTCTAGGTGATGATCCCTATCTTTACTTTGCAGAATACAGTATGACCTATGACTGTTAACAGTTTTCAAAAGCTCACCTCTGTAAGCAACACTCCTTCGTTTTCATTAATTTCCTGTAGGCACACTTTTGAACTTGATCCATCTTTCCAAGTCTTGGCCAAACAAGCTAGGTTTCTTGGTTCTCCAAGAATAACATTGCCCTTCAATGCATCTACTAGAAATTCATCCATAGAAAGATTATCTGAAGTGTTTTTTGCAGACTGATGACATTTGGAAAAGCTATGTGCCAGATTCAAGTCTGAAAGATAACATTTATTCTCCACATTTGAAAGATCATCAAAAAGGTAAGTCTTCAGAGGGCCATGTTTCAAAGCAGGAAGCAAATAGCTACAGCCATACAAATAAGGAGGAAATTTGTTTGAAGGAGAGGGATACACAGTCTCCAATTGAGAGCCCAAATTATCTTGTGTATAGGATTTCCAAACATGACTCAAGCACTGAGCAGGGCTGATCAACTTGTGTAACTCTAGCTTCGCTTGGTTCTTTATCATGTGCAACTTGCTAGTAGATAAAACTTGGTTTGGTTTCTCAAAGGAACTGAAATCAGAACCAAAATCCTTATATAGTTCTGAATGCCATGAAGTGATATTGAAGAGGGTGCCCAAATGAGAGTCATCTTCCTGGAAGAAAAATGAACTAGTTAGCTACCCAGGATTGCATTCTAAACTCCATCAATACTTGGGAAAGCTATTTTTTCAATTGTCAGATTCCAATTAGTTAAAAGCAAAATATCTAAAAGCTGGGAACCACGGACATGAATTTCTAACATTTTGGAAGAATGGTTTTACATGAACTTTATCTATAAATAAATATGAACCAGTGATTTACAGGTAGCCCTGGACTCACTATCATTCATTTAACAGTTGTTCAATTTACAATAGCTTTGGAAAAAATGACTTGTATTTGCACTTAATGACTGTTGCACTAATTGATCATAGTTTGGGCTCTTGGGTCTTTGTTTACCACTACTTGCAATGTCCTACAGTGACATGATTGTGGATTTGTGAGTGTTTTACCAATTTCTAGAAAAAAATGCCCACAGGGGAAGCTGGAATAATTTAATGACCATGTGATTCATTTAATGGTTGCTGTAAAAATTATCATAAACTCACATCCAGTTCAACTTACAACTGCAACAATTTACAGTCCCAACTGTGGTAATAAGTCGAGGACTATCTAGAATTTTAAATATGTAATCCACTCTATTTTTGAATATTATTATTACAGAGAGTTCCACAATTTCTGGCTGGCTTTTATAACTATATGCTCTGTTTGACCAACACTGGAACACTTTTTTGTAAGATGCCCTTCCTGCATTGGGTTAAGTCAATGCAAATCACTATCAAAAAGCAACCAAGAGACATCTTTGAAACTCTTCTAAATCTGAAGAAAGGAAGGATGGTGAAAAATTGCTGCTTTGTCCCTAATTTGCTAAGACTCCCTGGGTGTTAGAGGCAAGATGATTACTTATCAGATGTACTAATGTACAGGATAAAGAATGTGCTTCATGACAAGCAAATTTCCATATTTAGCAACTTATTGAATTAGGGGAAAGATGTGAGTGTTTTTGAAATAGAAGAGTGTAATAAAAGTTTCATAAATAAAAAATATTTATGTATTTATCCACTCTAGTGTGCTGGATCTCAATTCCAATAACATCTGGGATTTATGGAAGTTAAAGTCCTAAATGTTTCAGGCATGATAAATTATAAAAAAGTGGTCTAAAATCATACTGCTAAGTAATCATTAGTGATCTCTGTCCTCTTTTATATTGTCATCGTACATGTCATCTATTGTAGATAGTAATTTTAAAAATTTCCCCTCCAAATTGTTCAGGATCTTATCTTATAACACATTTTGCCACAGGATAGATTTCATAAAGGTGAAAAATGATATCTGAGCTGTTGCTCATTTGTGCATTGTTAATACAATTACAAACACACATGTCTCTGAGAAAGAAAACAGGTACTGCTGAGGTTAAGTTCCATTATAGCCATCATCAATGCTATATTCAAGCATGATTTGAAGCAGTGTAGAATATACCCTACCTGCACAGGTATAGGTACACAGCTCTCCTGCTCTGGAGTCCTTGGCTTTCGAATTAGGGAGGATGTTCTTTTTGATGTTTTAAGGGAGGACTTTCTCTTTTGCTGTTTCTTCCGGGATTTGCCACGATGTAAGGCCTTCCAGGAACCTGGAGCCATTTTTCCTTCAGTTGCATGAGCCACATTATTGGGGATTTGATCAAGGCTGCTAGACCGGCTGACAGAAAGTAGTATTACAGATATATTTTAGCTTAACTCACAAAACCCACAATCATTTAACAGGTCTGAAAGCCACACACTAAGATCTTGAGAACATTTGGAATAATCATAATAAATAAGTTCTCAAACTAAAGAATGAATACATTTGTGAAAAATGCATTTAAAATTTAATTTTGTAATATCCTTCATCTTCAATTTCTAACAAAATACACCAATAAAGTTATATATCTACATAATTTTTAAATCATACATTAAAACACATATTTTCTCAGATGTTTCCTCTTCAACAATATTTTAATATGAGTGTCAAAAGTGAGCCAAAGAGTTTAGCCTTATTAAAATGAAAGCAATGCCATGGCGTACCAGACACCGGATTTATTTGCTCACAGCAATGTTGAAACATTCATTATATAAACCTTACTGGTTTGACTTTCTGAATGATTGATATTTTGGAGTTATGAGGGCAAAAGGCAAACTTAGACATAATAGAAAAGAAAAGGACTGTGAATAACAAAAAACAGAATACATGGGGATGGGGGCTATCCAAGAAACATTTTATTCTGCTGGTATTATTGCTTCATGTCACAATCAAAATATTTTATTTTTTTCAAAATACAAAATCCAAGACGGAGTCGAGCAATGGCTCCTTTTCATAATAATATTGATTCTTTCCCTATCTTTCCCTTCTTTTAAAACAACAATTCTAAACTTTTTCACAATCACAGAATAATTTACTTGAATGTTGCTTATAAAATTTAGCCTTGCTATTCCAGTTTTGTTGAAAATCTGCAAGACCACTCTGTAGTTATCCCATAAGAACTAAAACCTTATGCAAATTATGCTACATCTGCAATGGTATACAATGTGTCTTACCAGGAACTGCCAAGTCCTGACAATCTTCAAAGAACAATTTCAAAGATACCATATTTTGTAACGTAATGCAGAAAATTCTGAAGAATGAAATTTGGTAATTCTAGCACAATGGTTTGGATACCAGTATAGGATAAAAAGTGGAATTAAATGGAATATATGACCTCTGCTGAATGGGGGGCATGAATCAAAGCAAGCAAGATAGTAGTCATCAAAATATGGTTGAAGAGCCCAGCCCTTGAATAGTTTGTTGCTCCCCCCATGTGGATATACTCCTTCCAACATGGATTCAAAGGATTCTCCTCTTTTTATGCAAGTGAATTTGGGGTAAGGAGCAGGTGAAGGTGTTGTGGTTTTGCATTTTATGAAGGAGAACTTACCTGTATTGTTTTGTGTGAGCAATAAAAGGCCTCTCTGAATAGGTGGGACTGAACTCCTGGCTTATCTCACCTGAAGAAAATTTTTAAAAAAGAAATCCAAACATGCCATAATGAAGCAAGAAACATCAAAATCACAAACATTTACAGAACTCAGCTTCACTAAAATGTGAGGCCATTTATTATTATTGTGTTCGATTTATACCCACATTTCTCATCAAAGAATCAGCAGTATTAGAGAGAGTTAAAATTTGATAAAATATCAAGAAAACATAAAGGAAGACTGCAAATATATTTCAGAGGATTGAAAAGGGGGGAGTCAAATATTACATTAAAATAGTCAAGGTAATATATATATATATATATATATATATATATATATATATATATATATATATATATATGTGTGTGTGTGTGTGTGTGTGTGTGTGTGTGTGTGTGTGTGTGTGTGTATGCATAAACATATACATATAGATATGTATATAAATAATAGCACAATCCTGGAGAAAATCTATTTGGTTTCTAGAAAATCTATTTGGTTTCAAAAACAAACTGATGGTAAATATCAATCAATTCAGACTACTTCTGAATTTAAGAATGCTGATTAATTGAGAATAGGAGAACAAATGTTTTTTTTTTTTTTTGACGTGCCTAAATTATATTAAAATCCCAGTTTATCAGATCTTAATATAGTGGACTTCAGATGCAACACAATCTGTTAGCATTGTACATGTAATGCCATGTTATGCATGCATTGAATTCCGTTTGACATTAGTTGTTACATAACTACTAAGTTTGTATACAATGGTATAACACATGCATAAATTCCCTTTCAACATTTCATGAACATTCAGATATAGCAGATGCTCCTGTCCCCAGTGGTCTGTTAAGTCAAGGATTTATTGTAATTCTATTCTAAGTATTTACCGGTACTATAAATCTCTTACACTTTCAAAGTTAAAGGTTTCTACTAGAATTCAGACTCAGAATTACAGAGAGAGATGGAAATGTCAGGAGAAATGGAAAAGTGAATTAAGAGCAATTAATATTCAGAAAGCACTTCTCTCTTAATCATTGTGGTATCCAATTGAATGCCCTTATTAAGACTGATAATCTATTAGAAGGCTACCAATTGATCTTTCCAGAAGAAAGTTATACTTACCGTACATAAACATTAACTCTCTCTCTCTCTCTCTCTCTCTCTCTCTCTCTCACATACACACACACACACACACACACACACACACACACACACACACACACACACTTTCAGCTGCTCCTTTCATTAATATATTATTTTCCACTTACATTCTGCCTGGGCAATGATGGAGATTGAGGCTAAGCTCCCTTCTCCGCTATCTTCCTTGGCAGTTCCTTTAGCAATCACATCATTAAGGATCTTCCATGATCCATGAAACATCTTTTTATCTGGCTCCTCTACTTTGCAAACATTGCTTTTCTTTTCACTCACTACTTCTTCTGGCCCTTTGCCCATTAGGAAATCCTTTGGAGATCCAGTAGCTGGCTCTGTATGGTCCTGGCAAGCTATTTCCATTACTGCCATCTCTTATTTTTGGTATGTTACTAAAAGACAAATCCCAGGAAAAGAAGCATTAAATGTTAATTTTTAAGCATTTGTTCTGATAGAGCTTATCGGTATTGACGATTACCTCTTTCTATGCTGGACAATTAAAAGTGTTTTTTCTTGAAGAAAACATATTACCTTATAGCAGAAAACAAATCACAATACCTAAGTAGCTATGTGGCTACTTAGAAATCACAAATCATCTTTTAAAAACATTTTTTGAAATTCAAAAGGAATTAAGAAGTTACGTATTCTAAATGCCAACAGCAAACATTTTAGCAAATATCCTGCAATTATCACAAATGTTTTCTTTTCTTTTTTAAAATAACGGACCTTTTTATTTTATAAACTATATTTAAATTGTTATACTACTTTGAGAATAAAATTTCCTTTAAAGACACAGCCTTACATACACCCATACTTTGCATCTCTATTGAAAATGTATTTATAATGCTTGTCCTTATCATTTATAATTCTAAAGCTGTCCAATTTCTCAGAGATAATGTACAAGTTGAAAACCACAGAAAGAACAATTATCAGGCAATGGGAAGATGGTCATTCAAACACAGCAGACATAAGAACATCTCACAAAGGGAGATCATAGGCTACTCTATCCCCAAACCTGGTGAAATAGTTAAGCCATATTTAAAGAAAAGCAGGCTTGCAATTATGCTAATCAAAGCAGAAGGGACTTTGAGAAGAGCATCCCAATCCAGGAACAGATGCGATTGGTGTACAAGACAAATCTGTGCGAAGGCCTTCCTGGCTACAGCTGTCACATGTTCTTTGACTAGGAATTTTGAGCAGGAGTCCAAGAAGAACCTCAAATTGTACATCAGTTCCATGTGGGGAATGTAACCCTTATTTAGAATTAGAGGTACAAAGTTCCCAGAACTGGAAGTTCATATCCACATCAGTATTTACTTTGTCTTGCCAGGGTTGAGCTTAAATGCATTGCCCTGCAATCTCGGAGCATTGATTCAAGTATTTTATGTTATGAGTCGGTTGTCCACAGCTCAAGATGCACATGATACTGAGCTATATAATCAGCATGCCAATTATACCTGACCCATACAATGGATAACCTCACACAGGAGCTTCATATACAGTAAATGTTACTTAGAAGGAATAAAAGCAGGGGTATCAAATTTGATTTCATTGAGGGCCGCATCAGGGTTGTAGTTGATCTTGCAGGGCATGGGTGAAGTGGGAATGGCTGGGGTGAGCACGGCCAGCTCGATGTTGCTCATGTTGGGGGGGCACTTGTGGTGGTGCCCAGGTGGGGCTGAAAGGGATCCATTGTCTCCAACAGAGGAAGGTGAGACTGTGGTAAGCCTCATACCTTTGTCCACCAGAGGAACATTGTCATCCCTCTCAGGTCCCACAGAGGATCCCTGGTGGTACAGGGAGCCCTGGGCAGTGGAGGGCAAGTGCCAAGCCCAGCCTTCCCCAAGGGGGTGCCCGGCTGTGCTTGCCTCCTCAAGGCTTCTGCTGCTTGGCTTGCTCTTCTTGGCCAGGTTGCTCATGGGGGTGTGCAGAAAGGCAAAGCCTTCAGAAAGGCCCACTCCCTCTCCAGGCGAGGAGTCCCTGTTTTGTAACCAAAGTATCCTCAGCAATAGGATGGGAGACCACCAGGAAAGATCAGGGAGGAGGGGACAAGGGGATGGCGAAAGGGCAGCTGGGCTGTTCATGGCCAAGTGCAAAGGCAGGACTTCCCTCAAATCCTCCCATTCGCTCATTATAATTCCCTTCCTTTCTTCCTTTCCCCCTCTTCTTCTTTTTCCTTCCCTCTTCATTATCCTTTTCTTTCTCTTCCTTTCCCTCTTTCCTTCTTCCTTCCTTGCTCTCTTCCCCTCTTTCCTTTTTTTCTTTTTTTCCTCTTTCCCTTTCTCCTTTTCTGTCCCTTCTTGGATGCTCAAATGCAAAAGGGAAACATTTCTCGATGCTTCTCAGAGCTCCTCTGTTTTTTATGTTGGTTTTCTATACATAATCTTTAAAAAGGCTCTTCTGTGGGGACCCTGCCATAGTCTAATTCATACTGGAAATATAGCAAAAGAAAATGTTTTTTCCCACTCTGCTTTGTCCTGTTTTCCCCACTGGAAATGGGCTGTTTGCAACACACAAGGGGGGGGGGATACTTTCCTAAGAGCTCACAATTCAAGAATACCAATGTTAACTTGAATTGCCAATAAAATCCTGTCTGTGATAAAACAGAACACAAAATTGCTTTCTCCTTTGAGCCCAAGTCTCAATGGGTCCAGGACTGAAGAATTAGTTTTGCAGCTTAGAAGTGATCTTGAATGGAACTGGCTGATAAGCAGCTGCTGTAATCAGAAATGGCTCAGCCTTGGTTGGTCTTCCACAGACTCTCCTTTTTAGAGAAAGCAGCTTGTGCTGACATAGTGAGACATTACTAGATTTTCTATTCTGCCCCTACCAAAATGGAAGTATCATTTTTATATTGACTGTGCTGGCTTTTCTTTTTCCTTATGTTTGCCCCCCCCCCAAAAAAGGGAAAAGCATTTCACAAAAATCTCTTATTTCTCTCTTTTACTGTTTTACCCATTTTATATTCAAACAAATCTGTTGTACATAAAATATATGTGAACAGCAGTTTTACTGTGTAACATGAAGTGTAAGTTTACCTGACAATAGGAAAAAGTTATGAAATTAGGAATCTAAATTGGAACATACAATCTAAATTTCTGAGAGTCCACTAATTAGAATTCCCTGCTATATAAATGCTTATTTAATTATTACTTTTTGGAGTATTATGTAATTGGCATCCAAGTTGTTGCCAAGAATTTGTCTTTACATTTTTGCAGAGATGTGTTACGTCAAATTAAAGAGAGCAACTTTTCAGAAAGATCACACCCATTACAGAATCTCTTTCAAAAGATATTAACAGTAACTGGGAACGACATTAAATGTCCATGTATACATTTTTATACTATTTGATATTCACAAACGAACACAGACATTTGAGTTTCAATTTTCTTTTTTTCTGGTGGAATTTTCTTTCTTGAAGTAATTAGGAAATCTTTGTGACAATTAAAAAGGAACATTAAAAACTACTTTAGTATAAAGAACCCAATATTTTTTTACTTATACATATTATAAAATAATTAACTAGGAGGGCATGGCTTTTTGAGATGCAACTACAGCTAAATGGGCCTGCCTTCGTGCTCAGGTTCCAGTATCTTTCTCTGGCAAGGATCCTCTTTTTGTTTTGCAAGGCTGGAAGCCAAGAAAGGAACTTTGCTTCTGTTTTGATCATGGCATCTTGAAATTTTCTGGAAGACAGAAATCTTGGACTTTAAAGTCTGCTGGGGTGAGGCATGCAAGGTAAAGTTTCCTGCCACCCAGGCGAGGTAGATGAGAAATTGTTTCCTGTACTTGAAGGAACGCAGAGAGATCTTCAGAAATATTGGCTAGCCAGGAAGGGTGGGGCTGCATTTGAAACTCATTTAAGGGATTTACAGGCCTAGCATATATACTTCATCCCCCTTTGGCTTTCCTCCATAAGAGACCCCACACACACACACAAACTCTTCTATTTGTTTTAGGCTATTTTCCCCTAAAGCTGTTTTGTTTTTTAAATAGATGATACACACCACATATAAGTCTTGAGTCTTTTCCAAGCACTCCCATGTTTTATGTGGCCCTCCTTCTGTCAATACAGCTGCCCACGCAGAGGGAAGGGCCTATCATTAAAAGATATGATAACCATAGTCTCAATTGTTTATTATTGGTCTGAGAATCACAGGCAATGAGCACATATACCATTTTGCAGAAGAAAATATTGGTGAACTGATCTAAGCATATAAGAAGAACCAATCTGGTGTAATAATTAAAGGCACCAAGCTAGAAATTGGGAGACTGCGAATTCTAGTCCTGCCTTAGGTGTGACTAAGGTGAATTTCTGGGTGAATTTGGGCCAATCAGTCTTTTCAGCCCTAGAAAAAAAGCAATGGCAAACCACTAACCCTTACTCATCAGTACAAGCTGGGAATCCCTATATAACCCAGATTCCATCGAGGAGCTTATAACTGTCACCTTCCTCTATGGAACTAAGCAAGTCCTTTCTAATTAAGATCCCAGCTTGTCTTTTATACCTAGGAACTTTTTATATTTTGATAGGACTCCTTCTCTAAAGTTACCTATTTCCTATTTTTAAAAATTGGTCAAAATGGCTTGTTACACAATGCAGTACAAAACACAGCAGCAGGTAAAGCAAATATTCAGATAGCTCACTTCAAACCCAGATTACAGAAGATCCTTGCCAAAAAGTACCTCCTCATCTCTATCCTAAAGCAGAAATCCACCAAAGGAAAAATAAAATGGGTTTTGCTACAAAAGGAACTTATGTGCCTTCCTATCTTTGCCACCACCTTGACTTTGTTAAATTTATTATTTCATGGACGCTACTCTTAGTCTCCTTTTTTGCATTTGCTTGAGGTGGTTTGATTTTACATATAGTAGTTGCACTCTTGGCTGAGGGCTTGCTTTTGCTTGTTTCAGCAGCCAACCCTTTTCTTGTAAAGAACGCCCACGTTCTGGATCCCACACAAACAATGCTCTCTCAGTAGATTAAATGACTTCTCTCTTCCCTAGCTTCAGGTGGCTGCTCAGAAAGCCTTTTCTAACATTTCAGAAGCCACAATTTTCAGTCGCATCTTGCAGACACCTTTCCTTTTTAAAGAACAGAAGGATGTTGCATCTCAAAAACAAAACCAATTTGTGATATTGCCCCCAGTTAGGCTCATGGTCTCAAGGGATTTGCTTCAATTAGATAAGATATCAATGTTTATTTTCATGAAGCAAAACAGGAAAGAGAAAATAATTTTTAACTGAATTCGTTTATGGAAGAACCATAAACGATGGGCTGTCTAGATTTCCACAAACCAAAGTTGATATCTGCATGTTCCAGGCCTTCCTGATTTTCTTGGTTTTATGAATCATTTGAACATTCTGAAGTTCTCTATAAGCATGATCTGTG